ATACAGCTAAACTGGCGCACTTCCTGAACACTTCGCTGGGTCGCCCTGTGGATGCCCTGCCTGCTCAGAACCCAAATTGATTATGAGAGTTCAACAGCTGGGTGTCCCAGGTTCAAATCCTGCCCTGCTGTGAGGACAGCCAGAGCTGGCTTCACATTTTGCACATGTTCCCATGCGCCCGTGGCAAGGAGCCATATTGGTGCCCCCTTTCCCCTTGCACCTTTGGCAGAAGAGCCTGCGCACCTCACCCGGCCGCCCAGAGCAGCAGAGGAACAGCCGGGGGAGCGGGCAGGATCCTAGCCACTCCAAGCCACCATGGAGAGACGGGGTTATGTGGGGGGGGGGCTGGGCCTACACCCCTGCATCCAATGAAAGAGAGGCTGGAGGAGCAACAGGCAGTTGCCCCAGTGGGGGTTGCAAGATGGGATTTGTGGAGGTAATGGTGGGGTGGGAGGGGGACGGGGAGGCCAGCTGACCCCTCGTGCTCCACCCCCCTTTCTCCAAAATTGGGGGTCAGGTGAAACTAGTCAGTGAGCAGAGTGAGGCGCCCCAATGAGCCATCCTGCCTTTCAGCAGAGAAGGGCTAGAGAAGATGACTGAAAACAGGTCCGCTTTTTTCTGCTGTTATCATTATTGCTATTGTTACTGCTATTGTTATTATTTAAAATGAAACTTCTTGCACCCTGTGATGGCCAGAAGCAGGGGGGGCTGGGGAGGGGAAGAGGAAGGGAGCCTGTGGCAGGATCAGTTTAAAAGGTCACTGGCAGCAGCAGGAGAGGGAGAAATAAATCCTCCCCTTTTGCAGCAGGGGCTGCTGCCCTGACCAGAATCCATTGGCTCCAAATGAGAACCTTGTGGCAGAGGATTTCAGAAAAAACGCCTCTCCCCGGGACCTCGAAACTTTCGAGCGATTCAGCGGTTTGGCTTTGTTGCAAATCTGTTCATTCATGGGAAGCAAAATCTTTTTTTAACAAAAACCCCGCGCACACATAGTTTTTTTGTTTTAGAAAGTGGCAAAAAACCACCCACCCCCCCAATTCTTTTTGTGCAAGCCGTGCAAAAGTCAAAGGCTGCTTCTCACCCCATCTTCGTCTCCCGGAGGTCTCGTTTTCTTCCAGATCTCCCTCTGATCCTTTCCACGTTGCTTTCCCCACCTCCTTTCTTCGGCTCTTTCTCTCCGGATCCGGATCCTCCTCAAATTTCCGGAATTTCACTTTGGGAATCCACTAGTTGGGAAGCGGGGCGGGGGGGGACACGGCGGGGGGGGCAGGGCGGATGCGGGCGGACAAAAGGGAGAGATTTGAAATAGTGTCTGAGTCTGGAGCCATGCATTGCAAAGGCAAATCACCCAGACCGGGGCGACCCCCTCTCCCCGCAAACCCCAAAGGGGTCCCCCCACCCACGAGGGAGCCCCGCCAGAAGAACTTTGCCTCTCCTGCTGAGCAGATGTGTGTGTGTCAGGAAGAGGGTGGAAACAGAGGAAGGCTGTCAGCTGGCTCCCCCCCCCCCCGGGTGTGTTGCAAATATTTCTCCTTCTCTAAGCCCGACCCCAAACATTTGCAAATAAATCAAAATCAAAGTCGGTCTCCTTACCCGTTTCTATGGCCTTTTGTGGGGCAGCTTGGCAAGGTCTTTGTTCTCCTTTTTTCATTAAAAAAAATTCTCTTCCTTCCTCCACCAACTCTCTGCTGCTTCATCTCTCGGTCACATTTCTTCTTTGAGTTATTTCCAAGGGCTGGGGGGGGGGGAGTGTCCTATTTGTCGGCTCCTGGGCGCCACCTGCTGGAAGGCTCTGGCGCGCGTTTCGCTTGCAGCCCCTCTGCGGGGGCGCAGGGTCACTTTCAGGACCCCCGGATCTCCTTGGGGGCGAAGCGACTGTAAGGACAGGGAAGGAAGGGCATCCCAGCCCATGCTGGGGTTTGTTTTAAGCACTGCTGTGTTTTTAATAATGGGGAGGGGCGGAACCTTTTCATCCTGATCCTGGGGGCCGTATCACCTTCCCAGGGAGCCTTCCAGGGGCCACATGCTCTATGTTTCTATCATATTCTTATTTTTGTCATTGCTATTATTACTATTGGGGTGTTAGGGGAGGTCGTTTGACCACCTTTGGTCCCCACCCTGCACTCAGCTGAGCTCTCACCTGTGGTTCCTGGAAGCTGTCAGCAAGCGACCACAATCCCTGGAACGGCTTCTCAAGGCGTTAAAGACTCCCCCTGCATGTGAAGGCCGGCTCCAGTACATTGAGCAGATGAGACCGAGAGTTTCTGCACAGGTTGAAGAGGGGAGTGAGAGGCAGGTGGGGCTCATCCCCCTGGGAAAGGAAACTCTGATCCTAAACCTCTGTTGCCCTGTGGGATGTCTTCAGGAGAAGAAAAGGGCAAGGACTAAACCCTACATAAATCTGGAGTGGAGTCCCTAAGACGGCTGGATGGTGTCTTGTATGCAAGGGGTTTGACTAGATGGCCCTTGGGGTACCTTTGCAATGCTTCAATTCTATGAGTGTCCCCAACACGAAACTCTCAGGCAGAACTGAAGCACAAGAGCACCTCCCTCCCTCCCACGATTTGCATGATCTGTATAGGGAAGTTTTTAACGTTTGATGTTTTATTGCATTCTTATATCTGTTGAGGGATGTGGGTGGCGCTGTGGTCTAAACCACTGAGCCTTGGGCTTGCCAAACAGAAGGTCAGCGGTTCGAATCCCTGCGACAGGGTGAGCTCCTGTTGTTCGGTCCCAGTTCCTGCCAACCTAGCAGTTCGAAAGCACATCAAAGTGCAAGTAGATAAAAAGGTACCGCTCTGGTGGGAAGGTAAACGGCATTTCCGTGCGCTGCTCTGGTTTGCCAGAAGCGGCTTAGTCATGCTGGCCACATGACCCGGAAGCTGTACGCCGGCTCCCTCGGCCAGTAAAGCGAGATGAGCGCCACAACCCCAGAGTCGTCCGCGACTGGACTTAACAGTCAGGGGTCCCTTCTTTACCTTTACCTATATCTGTTGGAAGCCACCCGGGGTGGCTGGGGCAACCTAGTCAGAAGGGCAGAGTACTAATAATAGTAGTAGTAGTAGCAATAATAATAATAATGGCTGGTAGCAGCCCTTGGGGATGTGTGCAGGGGGAAGTTTCCTAAATTAAAACTAGATGGACTCGCTTTGGTATATTTCCAGCAGGACTCAGAAAACATCCATTACTTTACTTAAGTTTATAGAAAGTGGTTGCTTTCTTTTTTTGCTTTTTCCCCCTCTCCCTTTTAAAAAGACACCTGTCCTCATTTCAGAGGTTAGGGATCTGGTAGCCTTTCAGAGGGACTCCTCTTGAGCTGGCTGCAGCACCAGCACCCAGCACCCCTGCCCTGGGCGCAGCCTCCTCCTCCGAGCAGGAGCCGTCTCAGGGCTCTGAGTCAGATCCTCATGTGGAAACTTGTGAACGGCTGGGTGATTAATGCTCCAAATAAAAAGCACCCCTTCCTTTCCTGTTGAACATTTGGGAGAGGCACTTCTGATCCCAGCAAGATGGGACAAGGCACATAAACAGCCCTCCCAGAGCAAGGCCCGCAATATGCCCACATCCCGTTCCAGCCCCCGCCAACCCAATTAAGACAATCTGCCTCGTGCCCAATAATTAGTTTCTAAAATGAGCCTCAAGGCAGGTTGAGGGTGCCCCTACTTGCCCTACTTTCTAAGGTGTCTTTAGCACCATTTGAATTTTGTCTTATTTGGACATGGTGGTGGTAAAAGGACAGGAAGGATGGAGCAAAACAAGAAAACGGGTGATGATGCAGAGCATGGCATTGTCCAAGCACTTGCCAAATCACACCTTCCTTAAAATAATTCACTTTATCCACCAGTGTCTATGCTTTGAGAAAGGAAGTTCAACAAACCCTTCTTGCATGCAGGAGTGTGCCTGCTCTCTCTCTGCACAAGTCCCTGTTCCAGCTTTGCCTCTTCCCTATCAGCCTCTGAGAAAGGCAGGTGATTTTGCCCCGCTTCTGAATTCTACCACTTTGAGGGGTTTTTTTCCTAGTCAAGTGGTATGCAACTTTTACAAAATAAAATGGGTGGCGCTGGCTCATTCAGTCATTCCCAATGTAGACACAGAGGAAGTACCTATCCTCTGAGGAGGCTGCAAATTGCATCCCTGCATGAACCACTGCCACCAGTCTGGCTTTCTCTTCTTCCAATCAGCCTCCACCGCGGAGGTATGCAGTTCTGACATGTCTCTGCATCTGGGGTGACTGGATCTGTCACTTCTGATGCAGAGATGGAGCAGAATTGATGCCTGCCAGGAGGACGTTCCCGGTTGCACCCCTGCATGAATGTCTGCTCTGGGTTTCTTCTATGAAGGATGGACTTCTCTTCTTCCTACACACTCGGGCGCAAGGAGTGGTTTCTGATTTTAATTTGGTGTGAGAGAGGAATAAGCACACCTTGGAAACCATTTGAGAAGAAATGAATGTGTGATGGTGCAGAAATTTCCTAAAAGGAGGGTCACGTTTGGATGCCAATGGAGACAGCTCACCAAACAAACTACTTGAACAAACGACTGCACTGCATCCACCCTCCAAAAACAAGTGCGCTCCTGCTTGGGCTTTCTGCCACTATCCCCACACTGAGCAAGGCATGCCACCCTTTCCCAACTCTGGGCTGCTGTGCATGCTTTTAAGAAATGTGTTTTGTTTTCTGCTGCGAACCTTGTAGTTCCCTCTCTCTGGCACGCTGACACTTGTCTCCCATTTCTCACTTACCCTGTTCTGGGGGCGATCCTGGCAGCACTCACCAGCTGCGCTCACTATGAGGATGAGCAACGAGTGCCCTGGGACTCACATGCTCCCCCCCCCATGCGCCACTAAGTTTCCGACAACTGCGCTGACCAGCAGCAACAAAGAAAGGAATCCTGGCAAAGGAAGGGACAAGAAGTCACAGTTTTGCCCAATGGACACAACGGCAGCCTAACGACGTGGGAATCAAGCCACCGAGTTAACATTAAAGAAAGGCAGCTTGGCATCAACTTTACTTTTTTATTTATTTTCCAAACCCTCTGAAAATGGGGGGTCCTGGGCACACAATGGGACAGTCCGTGGGGTTTCCGTGGTGCGGACCCTCTGCCAAGGCCGTCATGCTGCAAGGCCTTCTTCGTCAGTGAGCGGGACTTTGCTGACCAGGCAGTTTGAAGAACAGCAGGCTGCCCTGCCCGTGGCGAGGCTGGTGGTCTGCTTCGCCTTTGCCTCTTGGGGTGAGCTTGCCAGCAGGGCTGATTCGCTGGCCGAGCCGGAGATGGGACAGGAGGCCAAGCTTCCCTGAATCAAGACTGTTTGCTCTGGCTCGGGACCCGCTGCCCCAACGGCACCCACCGTTTCTGACCTCCTGCTCCACACACTTTTCCAGGAGAGAGAGAGGTGGCCCTCATAAAGGTTCCAGGAGAGTAAGGAAAGGAAAAGCAGGGCAAAGGCTCCTCCCCAAAGCACCAATGTGAAGGAGAGCCCTTGGACTCTCTGGGATCGCTCCAGCCTTGCCGGGTTCTCCGTCTGGAGAGATGCCAAGGGCTGCGACTTTGGAGCTGCAGAGACAGCACACTCCCGATTTGAGGGATCGCTCTCGGGAGCCACAGCGAAGCTGCTCTCTTGCTGGAGGTAAAGGAAATAGGTGGACACGGAGATGCGGAATTCTCTTCCGTTGGATGTCTCAACAGACTGGCACTCGTAAAGCCCGGTGTCAGAAGCCGTCATGTTAAACACGACCAGTCCCCTGGCGTGGAAGAGATATTTGGGCTCTTCGTCCTGCAGGCTGCTGCCATTGAAGGTCCAGACAGACGTGGCCAGGTTGGACAGAGAGCTGCAGCTGAGATGTGGGCTGCTACCCAGGGGGACAGGGAGCCTCCTGACATTCTTAGCTGAGAAAGGAAAGAAGCAGAGGTGGTTACCCTTCTGCTACACTCACCTGCTTCCATCATTTCAAGGACCTTCCCAACCTCCTCCTACAGCCCTTGCACTGTTTTGCTTCTTATTATGATTGCTTTTAGTAGGAGTAGAACCCCACTCCACCTGACTGGTTGCCCCAGCCACTCTGGGAGGCTTCCGGCATATATAAAACATTAAACATTAAAAACTTCCCTATACAGGGCTGCCTTCAGATATCTTCAAAAGGTTGTATAGTTACTTATCTCCTTGACATCTGATGGGAGGGCATTCCACAGGGCGGGTGCCAACGGCAAGAAGGCCCTCTGCCTGATTCCCTGTAACCTCACTTCTCGCAGTAGGGGAACTGCCAGAAGGCCCTCGGAGCTGGACCTCAGTGTCTGGGCTGGTATAGAGGGCCAAGGCTGTTTAGGACTTTGAAGGTCAGCACCAACACTTTGAATTGTGCTCAGAAACATACTGGGAGCCAATGTAGGTCTTTCAGGACCGGTGTTATATGGTCCCAACAGCCACTCCAGTCACCAGTCTAGCTGCCACATTCCGGACTAGTTGTAGTTTCCCAGTCACCGTTAGGTAGCTTTAAGCTTCTAGTCCTTGTGTTTTTTAAGGGGCCCCACCACCACCTGAGGTGCAGAGGGTGGAAATGTGGGACAGGGTTTTTTTGGTAGCAGTACCCAGAGCTGGCTAACCCCACCCCTTTTGCACATTTAGAATCATGGAATTGTAGAGCTGGAAGGGACCACAAGGGCCATCTAGTCCCACCTCCTGCAATGCAGGAATCTTTCGCCCAACGTGTGGATCGAACCCACAATCCTGAGATTAATAAGTGAGCTATCCCAGGTCAAAAATGAGTCAGTAAATCACCTGTTAAACAGGTGGATATTTCATAGAATCATAGAGTTGGAAGGCACCCCGCGGATCATCTAGTCCAAGACCTTGCAATGTTGGAATATGCAGCTGTCCCATGTGGGGATTGAACCTGCAACCGTGGCGTTGTCAGCACCGCACTCTAACCAACTGAGCTCTCCGGGCTGAGATGGATATAAATAAATATTATTTAGGGCAATAGTATTTAGAAGCACATTTAATCTATGCTCGCAGGGTGCTCTTAGACCTGATTTGACTTGGGCTGTGCTGCTGATTTGTGGCTGCTTTGTTAGTTTACAAGCACTTGAGGGTTTTAGGGTGGCAGCCAGCAGCTCTGAGGTCCCGGTTTCTGATGGAAGGGTGGGAGATGGATGTTATAAAGCAATAAATGACGCTCTGGCAATGGCATGCCAGGGTGGCCTAGGTGTGTTTGTGATCCTGAGATTGATACAGCCAACGTGAGCATTGTCCCTTTGACCCCTATAGGAAAGAGTTTTTCATTTGCGTAGTCGCTCTCAGAGAAAGAGAAGAGATTCTTGCTGTTTCCCCCCCTCGCATCTTTGGAAGCGCTGCTTAACATGTGCTGCACGGAGGGTTGGGGCTCCTGAAATTTTAATGTGCTTTCTGCTCTTTAATATTTGCCGTCTTGTACAAGATGCGCTCAGCGGCAACGGCACCGACAATCTCTGCTGCAAGCCGCTGTTGCTGGTCCCGCTGACATTCATTCCCCAGCACCCGGGAATTCCCTGGGTTCAGCCCGGGGCTAAAAATTAAAGGCGGCAGCTTTTGAGAGAATGGCTACAAAAGGAAAAAGCGAACATGCCTTCAGTCCCATTCTCTAGAGCCATGCTAACAAAAGAAGGGGGGGGGGAGAATCTGTGCCTGTGGGAGCAAAGGCAAGCTTTTTTTAAACCAAACACAATTTTTTCATGCAGTGCCTCTGGGAAATATCAGAAGTCGCCATGCAGCAGATTCAAAGGGAGATGCACGCAATTAACCAAAGAGGCAGCAACTGTGATCCTAGGTTCAAATCAGACTCTGGGGGCACAGTAATGATTTGCCCTTAAGTGATAGCCCAGTTGGTTAGAGTGAGATGCTGATAATGCCAAGGTTGCAGGTTCAATCCCCATAAGGGACAGCTGCATATTCCTGTACTGCAGAGGGTAGGACTCGATGATCCCCAGGGTTCCTCCCAACTCTATGAATCTAGGATTCAAGATCATGTAGTTGTTTGCAAAAGGGACACGGGTGGCGCTGTGGGTTAAACCACAGAGCCTAGGACTTGCTGATCAGAAGGTCGGCGGTTCGAATCCCCGTGACGGGGTGAGCACCCGTTGTTGGTCCTGCCAACCCTAGAAGTTGAAAGCACGTCAAAGTGCAAGTAGATAAATAGGTACCAGTCCGGTGGGAAGGTAAACAGTGTTTCCGTGCGCTGCTCTGGTTCGCCAGAAGCAGCTCAGTCATGCTGGCCACATGACCCGGAAGCTGTATGCCAGCTCCCTCGGCCAGTAAAGTGAGATGAGCGCCGCAACCCCAGAGTCGTCCGCGACTGGACCTAATGGTCAGGGGTACCTTTACCTTTAGTTGTTTGCAATGTAGACAGAATACCTCCAGGCTGCATGGAGGGCTGAGAGGCCTGAGAGGGTAGGGGGAACTGGATGGCACAGCGTCCACTAGTGGCAAATCTGGAACATGCATTCATGGCCTCTGATGCCAAAAGTGCATTTCGGGTGCATGTGAGAAGTGCCTGCAGGCTTGCGAGGGCACGTGTGTCTGTCTGGGTGGAGGACAGCAGCATTACCGTTACCATGGAGAAAGTAACAGGCTCTTTGGAAAGGAGGTGCAGGGCTCCTGGCCACCCGCCTGCCTGCCACATCACTGTTGCCAGGCAAAGTCAAGTTCCGAAGGGCAGTTCCAGATTACCAAATAGGCAGAATAAGCACCGGCCTATGGGCCCCACACATATTAGGGGCCCCATGACAACGGATCAAAATAATATTGATTTGATCTTGAAAGAAAATTACAACCAAGCCTTCTTAGTTCCCTGTTATCCCACTAGAGGGGGGCGGAGACTGCCTAGGGGCCTCCACAGGGTTTAATCCAGCACTGCCAAAGGGGTTCTATGGCACTGACATGGCTGGAGCTCTGGACAGGCTGCCGGCTGGAAACAGAGGCTGCAAACGATCCCTTGCAATGAAGCCTGGCAGGCATTCTCAGCTGGGATCGGTAACTGCTGGGTCACATCAAGGTCAGAGGATTCCTGGGCTTACGTGGGGCCCTTTAAGCCACGGCATGCTGCCCAACAGGTTGGCATTTTTCTCTCCGATACCCTGAGGATTTCTTTCTTTCTTTCTTTCTTTCTTTCTTTCTTTCTTTCTTTCTTTCACAAAATAAAAAGATAAAAGCGCTAGCTGCAGCCTTGTCCTGAAGAGCGACCTTTTCACACTGGCTGCTCACATCTGACTTCTCTCTCAAGCTCTGTGACTGACAGGCACCTCTGGTTTTGCGGCTCCCCTGCCCAGCTCCCATGACCTTTGAAATCTCAACCCCTGGCAGCCTCCCTGCTGCCTGGATGGGTGCCTGAACTCCCTTCCCCATTGGGTGTGCAGCCTCCATCTCCCAGCCCTTTTCCTGCAGATCCTGCCCAAGCACAGGAATGTTTTAATTGTATATTTGACATCTGCATCGCAGGGGGTTGGACTAGATGGCCCTCGGGGTCCCACCCAGCTCTACAATTCTATGATTTTATGAGTCATGGGTGGGGGGGGGGAGACAAATGTCATAATAAGACTGAGTGTGAGAGAAGGTGCTCCTCCAGATAACTTGCTTATCCAGAAGTTGCATGATGTCTGTTCTTCAGGCAGCATTTGTCCTTATTTCTTTGCAGGGGAGGTTATATGTCTTTCCATCATTTGACAGCTTATCTCACACTTTTCAGCACATCTCCTGATCACAAAAAGTGGGCAACGTCTGAAAGTGGGTGGGTGGCCATGTGGCCAAACTGCTGCCCCAACGGGAAACCAGGAGGCAGGATTCGAGCACCAGAGTCCTCTCTCCCCTCCTGCAGTTTACAGCAAAAACCAGGTTCCCGCAAAGGGAAGCCCACAAAGAGGAGGTGACAGCAGTGGCCTTCTCCCACTCTTGTCCGCCACTCTTCTAAGGTGGACTGGCTCTGTCCATGGAGGATCCATTTAGAAATCATAAGAGCCCTTCAGCAGCTGGGTCAGGCCAGCCTTGTCTAGTCCAGCCTCCTGTCTGCATAGCAACCATGCGGATGCCCCAAACAGAAGCCCACAAGCAAGAGTCGAGCACCTCGACCCTCCTGTGGTTTCCATCAACTGAGATCTTTTGTTTTCTTTAATGATTCTTTAGCTGGACCATTGAAGTGGAGACGTTTCTTCAGGTATACAGGGTCGAGGCCATTTAGGCCTTTAATGATCAGCACCAATAATCTGAATCATGCTCAGAAACACATTGGGAGTCAGTGAAGGTCTTTTAGGACTGGAGTTATATGGTCCCAGTCACCACTCTGGCAGCCACATTCTGGATTAGTTGCAGTTTCCGGGTCACCTTCAAAGGTAACCCTATGTAGAGCACATTGTAACAGTCCAAGCGGGGGAATAACCAGAGCATGCACCACTCTGGCAAGACAGTCCACAGGCAGGTAGGTCTCAGGCATGGGTAGGCAAACTAAGGCCTGGGGGCCGGATCTGGCCCAATGGCCTTCTAAATCCGGCCCGCGGATGGTCCGGGAATCAGCATGTTTTTACATGAGTAGAATGTGTCCTTTTGTTTAAAACCCATCTCTGGGTTATTTGTGGTGCATAGGAATTCGTTCATTCCTCCCAAAAAAATATAGTCCAGCCCCCCACAAGGTCTGAGGGACAGTGGACCAGCCCCCTGCTGAAAAAGTTTGCTGACCTCAGACTCTCAGCCGGCGCGCCAGATGGAGCAGTTGCTCTGGACACAGTATAACTTCTGTAACTTGGCATCCTATGGATCATTATGGTGCCGGCTTTAGAAAGGTAAAATTTACATGTGTTTCTCTACCCAGTTTAACCTCTGGCCCTGAACACCACTTGTGAACTGGCTAACTACACCCAGGCAGAGCACTTGCTTACAGACCCTATTATCTCCAGAAAATAATAACAATAATATATATATAAAACATTCCCCTACCCACTTCAGGGCACCTGGAGGCATCGCCATTCCTGACACTCTGAATCAGATCCCTGCAGGAAGGAAGAGGCGAATTAACATGAATACTTCATGCAGGCATGAAAAAGCATTTGGCGTTGCGCAACCACTTCTCTCAGAAAGCATCCTCGCCTGGCCTTGAAATTCACAGAATCATGGCTGAGGGGCTCGAAGCGAACAGGGACTCTCCTGTGAAGAGAGAGCAGAGAACAATGTGCTTCGGTGGCGCACGCTGAAGTGTGGCTGAGAGTGCGTGGGTTTCAAAGCCTCACCTTGAGCGTTTATTCTCCGCACAGGCAGGGCTGGAGCCTGGTAGGTGGGAAGCACACTGTGCCAGCCCAGTTCAATCTCTGGTAACAGACAGAGAAGCTTTTCCCCAACCCCATATGGAGATGCCGGTGATGGAACGTGAGATCTTCTGGACATGAAGGGCTCTGTCACTGAACTATGGTCCTCCGCCTCAAAATAAACTAAAATCCTAGTCCTCATGGTTCTGAGGAAAGGTTCTGATTCACAGGGGTACAGAGGGGAGCTTCTACTGATTTAGACCACTGTTCCTTCCTTTACAGATAAATATAAGATTCTAGTCCTCATGAACAAAGAGCTAAGTTTTCCACAGAAAACCACAAAGCTGCCTCGTGTCAAGTCATATCGCTGGTTCATCTAGCTCACAATTGTCTCCAGAGTTTCCCAAACTTGGGTCTCCAGCTGTTGTTGGACTACAACTCCCACCATCCCTAATTAGCAGGACAAGTGGTCAGTGATGATTGGCATTGTAGTCCAAAAACAGCTGGGAGTTTGGGCAATACTGGTCTTGCCTGGAGATGCAGAGGACCTTCTGCATGCTCCAACCCTTAAAGTTAAAGTAAGATTCCAGTCCTCCTGGCTTTGGCTTAAGAGCTTATTGAAACAGAAGCACAGAAAGGTCCCTTACGCCAAGAGATCATTGGTCCATCTGCCCCAGAAGTAGCTCTCCAGGGTGTCAGATGGGGTTTCCCCCCAGCCCTGTGTAGAGACGCTGGGGTAGATCCTGGCCCTTCTGCATGCCACACAGTTGCTCTGCCACTGAGCTAAGGGAGGTAGAAGTAAGCAGAAGAAGAATGTGTGTTCGTTTCAGTTACAGGCACGGAGGTCGCCTAGAGGGCTCAGAGTGAAATGAGAGGCAGTGAGGTTAAGTGAATGGTAAATAATGCACGGCGTAGCTTTCAAGCCCTCTCAAATGCTGCATAAATGCTAATAGCTATTGTTATTATGTATCCCACAGGGCAGGGGTTGTGCTACTCACCGCAAACCCCCAGACCGGTTCGCCACGGGGATGCAGGCGCCAAGAGGCAGTGACCAGGCACAGTAAGGATCCCTGGCTAAGACGCAGTCGAGGCAGAACTTGTACCGGCTGCAGGTCGCCACGGGGAGCTGCACCAGCCGGGAGGCAGACCCAGCATACAGCAGGCCCTGGAAAGGGAGCACCAAGCAGACAAGACGGCGGTGTAGCTCAGCTGGTATGGAGCATGAGAGCCTTCATCTCAGGGCCATGGGTTCCATGCTGGACATGGGCAAATGACCCTTGTGATTCTAAGACATCTTTCCTGCACTGGACTCAACTGTACATGAAAGAGATACACGCAAAAGGGCAGGCAGAAGAAGACATGTCAGGCTAGGACCTGGGGTCCCATGGTTCAAATCCCCACTTGGTCAGGAAGCTCACTGGGGGGCAGTGGGCCAGTCCTTGCCTCTCCGCCTGACCTACCCCACATGGCTGTTGTGGGGATTAGAGGAGGAGCAGGAGAAGCAGGTGCACCTTGGGGGGAAATGTGGGGTGCAAATGCAATAACTAAATGAATAAAACGATGTGAAAGGAAAAGGCTAAACGGTGAGGAAGGCGTGGTGTCGTGCTGCACAGCCCATCTAGGCATTTAGAGGCCAAGCCGAAAGGCAGCCACTCTTTCAAATTTCAATTTCTCTGGTTTGGGCATTGCAGTTCTCCAGCCAGGCAACACGTACAAAACTGACACATGACAGGTTAAAGATAAAAATGCCTAACATACAAAAATGCATTGTGCTGGGGGAAACTGCTCTGCAAAAGGGGAAACTACAACAAAAAAGGTCAACATGGGGAGAAATTCAGACCCAAATGTCACTGGATTTTCAAAGCTTGAAAATAAATAAACTGCAAATTGCTGCAGAATTGTAGAAAGCTGAACTGAAGTTTCGGAAAGATGAGTAACTGAGAGAAACCAGAATGGATGGATCAGGACAGATGTCCTACCTTTTGTGCAGCCAGCTTGAGTGTCTGCACAGGCTCTGGAGATGGAAACAGCTGTAACTCTTCCACAATGAAAATCTCCCCCTGGAGGTTGACAGCTTTATGCAAATAGCCCTTATCTGCACAAAATCAAGCACACTTTTAAACCCCAATTAAAGTAAATGGGGTGGGGAGAAGAAGAGAAGGGACCACTGTTTTGAAGGAACCATGGTCTAAATTACTCAAAAGCAGGAAAAATGTGAGGTTAAGTCTCCTGCCCTCCTAAAAAGGTGCTTTATTCATCGGATAAAGAAGCCAAAAAGACCTTGGTAAAGTCACTGCTTGCCCCAGCCACTCTGGGTGGCTTCCAACATATATAAAAAAACCATAATAAAACATTAAACTTTAAAAACTTCCCTATACATGGCTGCCTTCAGATGTCTTCTAAAGGTATGTGAAATTACTTATCTCCTCGGCTCAGGGGTCGCATAACCTCCATATCCTCCACGTTTCTCTGATGAAAATAGGGACACCCCCTGCTTCCTGGTAGCCGCCCCATCAACCTTGCGGGGGGGGGATGCCTACATCAGCCCCCACCACTCTCACTCCAAGAAAGAAGTTCTTTGCCCCTCTCCTTTGTTTGGAACAGATGGGAGGATGACCGCCCCACCTTGGCACCCAGCAAAAGGAAGGCATGTTTAGAGAAGGGAGTGTTTGATGTGAGAGAGACTGAGTCAGCACAAGAAGGAACTGAGCGGGAAAAGCAAAGAGTCTCTCAAGCATGGCAGATTTTTGAGATGTTTCCCAAGACCTTCAGCAGATTCCATGGGAGGCAGCAGAGGGCACACGGGCGCCTGCTTGTGCCATGCTGGCAATTCCCAATCTAGGAAGTTGGCCTACCTGTCCCTAGGAAAAGGATGTCGTACGTTGCATTATCCATGCCACTAGTTTGGTCTACCACAAGATGTGTGTATCGCACGCCTCTTTTGACCAACATCGGCTGGCGGCCGATGGGGTTCACGGTGCCATCCATCAGGGGATGGTCCCTGGCAAACTGGAGGACTCTGTCCGGCAAGTCAAGGGAAGAGCTGTATCCCTCCTGGTGCCTGGCAGAAATGTTGAGGCACTAGAAAAAGGAAGATGGTTACAGTATTCCTTTTATTCAGACGTTCACCTGTTTGGTACAAGTGATATCCACTTGAACACTTACCACATGGGGGCATAGATGGTCAACCAGGGGAGGGGGACAACTTACAGCGCCCGGGCGAGGCGTGGGGACCTCTCCCCTGTGCACCACCCATTTTGCATGTGAATTCTCAACGGCAAGGGGGCCTTTGAAGTTTCCTTTCTGGAAGAGGTCTTGAACAGCTTCCATCCTGAACGCACAAATGGCGGAGATGTCCAATCTCCCCCTGAAACAAGATGGAAAGGAAATAAGTTCTGCGACAGAGCACGTCTTTCCAGAATGCCTCCCTGCTTCTGGAACAACCAAAGGATTTGTCTGATGAAGAAATATGCCCACAAATAAGATAAAAACTCCCTCCCACTCTTCAGAAGTGGAAGAAGCAAATCATGCAGAGATGCAAGAAGCAGCCATCTCTGAAGGGGGGGGGGATTTGGGCTCAACCTATGAAGCTGCCTTATCCTTGGCTGTCCAACGAGCCAAAGATTGTACAGCTAGCATGGTCCAACTTCTCAGGCAGAGAAAGAAAGATCTTTCCCTTTCCTACCTTTCCCCCCCAAACAGGAGATGCCAGAGATTGAACTTTCTGTATGCAAAGCGGGTGTCGCACCACAGTGAACTACAGTGCCTCCCGGATAAACAAAGAATTGGTTATTTTACCAATTTACTGTTTACAGAAACAGGCACTTCTCTCCCATTTGCTCCAGCAGAGGTTTGACAACAATAATTCTACAGGCCGGGGGGAAACAACAACAGCACAGCTGGGCCACACAGTCTGCAGGATGCATTCACTGTTTCTCAGGTGCTAATTGCAATCTTGAGATGCCCACTTTTCCCAGTCATCCTTTGGTGACAAAGCTTCTTTGTATGAAAAAGTCAGAAACAGAAAGGGTGGGGCAGTGGGGAGAAAATTATTCACACAGGAGACTTCTGCCTTGAGTCAAACCAGGGTACCGAAACGTAGGCCGCCCTTAAGTTGTATCTGTCAATTATTCACAAGACCTCAATAAAAGCTTGTGTTGCTGCCATGTTAGGGGGCCTTTAGTGAGGCTTTTCCTGCCATTCCTGTGGGATGGCTGATGTAGTTCTGTCATCATTGCCATGTGCTCTTATCTGGGCTGTTGGGAGTTGCAGGGGAAACACGCAAAGAAGGCTGGTGTAGCTGCAGCACTATGGTGGCTGCGGTTTCTGCTTTATGCTCAAAACAGCACATGTTCCCCACCATTTTTTGAAGGAAAAACTGGAGGTTGGCTTTTGCTGCCCAACTCCCCAATGGGCTCTGAGTCCCCTAAGTCCATGAGAAGAATGGATGGAGGTAGGATCCAGAGAAAACAAGGCAGATCTTTATTTTTCTGTTGCAACAGAGTACCCCGCCCTCCTTGCAAGGATGTGAGAGACCAAGAACAAAGTGTGCAGAAACTTTTAAATACTTTAGACATTGCCCAACCCCTTAGCCAAAGACATAACTAAAAGCATCATACATACATCACAGAAAGAGGGTTTCCAGCACAAAAAATTGAGTGTGCAGTCATCTCTCCTGTCTGCCAGGATACCTGATAATGTTTTACTGACTGCCTTACCTGGGCAGCCTGGCCATTTTTTTGAGATGTTAAATACTTTAGTTCTTCAATCCGGGTCAGAGGCCCACCCTATTCATACACAAATGTGCCCTTAAAACAGATTTTGTAGGATTTGTAAGTGAAAAGAACTACTGGGAAAGGTTTCTCCGATATATTTCCTTCTGTAGAGGAAATCTTTTGGGTTATTAAGAACCAAACTGCGGGAGGCAGTGGAAGACAGGAGTGCCCCTGGCGTGCTCTGGTCCAGGGGGTCACGAAGAGGCGGACACGACTAAATGACTAAACAACAACAAAAAATCAAGATGGCATCAGGACTGCCCCACAGAACAATTTCAGACATGTGATTTATTTACTGGTGTATGTGTGCTTACCTTGTGCATTTATGAACATTTATTGTATATTTGAGACCTTAGAATTCTTATAACACAGTCCTTCTGCACACAGCAAATATTTAAACTATGAAACTCCCTGCCACAGGAGGCAGTGGCGGCTGCCAACTTTGATGGCTTTAAAAGAAACTCAGGTTCTGGCTCCAAATCCCAGGTGCTGGAAACGAGAGGAGGGGGGGGCTCTTGTGCTCAGGCCCCGCTTGAGGGCTTCCCTTTGGGGCAACTGTTTGGCCACGGTGAGGACAGGAGGCTGGCCCAGCAGTGTTCTTCTTGTGTTCTTACGGCTGTGAGAAAATCTTACCACTGCTGGCTGAAAATCCCATAAAAGATGCTTTCCCGCCAGTTGGTTGTTTTGATCATGAAGACGGCGTGGAGGACATTGAACTGAAAATCTGATTCAGGAGCTGAGCAGACAAGGGTGGCCTTTAGAAACGAGGTCCACTTTTTCTTCAGGGTGCGCCTCCCACCGAGATCCCCCTGTGGAAAATAACCCCACAAGATAGCAGCGAGCAACTCTTCCCCCTCCCCTGAATCAGGGCCTCATTCCCTGGGCAGGGCTGGGGGAGCTTCATGCCAATAGTGGGCAGGGTCAGAGCTCAAGTGGATGGGGCCAGTCCTTTTCTTCCTGGCACCCCCTTTTCTCTTTCTCCCACCCCTTCCACACAGAACTGAAGGTGCCATGTTCTAGCCTAGGGATGGAGGACCTTTTCCCGCACTGGTAAGACAAGCAAGGGGTCCAGGTACGCACTGTGCAGATCTGGGCTACCCGCGAGACCAGAAGTTTGTCGTAGAAGTCAAACTCAACTGCCGCTTCTGTGAAGAAGACATAAACTCTGTCCGAGTCGGAGCCTGACCCATTCTCCTGCACGAGATCCATGTGGACGAAGGTGGGCTCTGAAGAAGACAATGACACAGGGTTATTGTTCAATGTCAGGGGTAGAGATCCTAACCAGTTGAAGCACCGTACTCTGGCCACTCAGACTTCCAAACTTCATGATTCTTTTAGGAGGGAATCCACCCCCTCTGATACCAAAAGGGGAGGGGGGAAGAGTTCTGCAGCACCCAACAAAAATTATGTTATAGAATCGATATATCGTTAAAAACCACTTTGAAGCCCATATTGTGATATCGGTTTCATAATTTTTGACCTGGCAATATATCTAGAGTGTGTGTGTGTGTGCACGCACGTGCGTGTGAAAAATCACAATGTGGGAAAAACCATGAAGCCAGCCAATGCCTCTACATAACTCCATTCTTATTTGAGACATTGTGATATATCAGCATATTGTGATGTTTAGCTGCTGATATATCACAAAGCTGAAAACCAGCTCCATCCCTATTTCAGACATTCTGATTTATCAGTATATTGCGATGTTTAGCTGGTGATACACTGCGATGTTGAAAACCAGGTATCACCCAGCCCTAATCAGTAGTGATAGCCACCAACCTAGATGGTTTCAAAAGAGGATGAGGAAGCGAAGTCTATCCATGGCTACCAGTCATGATGGCTCTGCCCTTCCTCCACTGTCAGAGGCAGGCAAGGGAAACCTCAGGAGGGAAGAGTTGCTCTTGTGTGTCCGTCTTGCTTGTGGGCTTCCCATTGGGGCACCTGGCGCCCATGGGGATGGGTAGGGTGGAAGGCAGGGAGCCCAACAGTAGACTGGTAAGACTCCCTGGAAAAGACCCTGATGTTGGGAAAGATGGAGGGCACAAGGAGAAAGGACGACAGAGGACGAGATAGTTGGACAGTATTCTTGAAGCTACTAGCATAAGTTTGACCAAACTGCGGGAGGCAGTGGAAGACAGGAGTGCCTGGCATGCTCTGGTCCAGGGGGTAATGAAGAGTCGGACATGACTAAGTGACTGAACAAAAAAAAAAACAAGAAACAAGGCAGGCAGGTGGGGGACAAGTGAGGGCAGACTGAGGTTGGTGGGGCAGTGCCCTTTTCCTAAATGGATCATGTGCACATAAGAAGAGTCTGTTGGATTCTTACATTCCCAAAATCTTATGGAATGGAACACACTTCATCAGACACTTGAAAGATCCCTCCTCTAGACGTTCCGACACTCAGTGCAAGACTCCCAGGGCAGTGTACAGAAATGTAATAAAGCGCAATAAAATAACAATAAAATAGCATGCAGCAGTCATCAAGAAGAAAAAGGGGAAACATAATCGTCCAATGATTTCCAAGAGGCCCTGAAACTGAATAAAAGCAGGGAGATGAATTCCCTCATTTTAAAATTTTAAGTGTTTTGTGCATCCTTGCTTGGGTCTCTCTCCCCAAGCCCCTTCTGTGTTGAAACTTGCAAAACAGCAAAAATCAGCATAGATTAACATCAGGCATCCAGCAGTACAAAGAAACCTAGATTACTCCTTCATAGAAAGGACAGTTTGTTATCACTCAGGCTAAATGAGAACATTCTTGCCCTCATTTAAATAAAGGGGCCGTTTATAGAAATTAATTAAATTGCCTTGCATCTCCTTTCTGTTGCGACAAGGCAGAGCAAATAAAGCCTTTCTGATGGCAAGGAAAATGGGTGAAAATAGGCCTGTCAACAGATTAAAGAACTTTATTTATGGATTAATTATCTGATTTGGAAGCGCTTAATCACGGGGAGCACGTTTACAAATTGCAAAAACATCGGTGACGGAGCCCCCTTGGGAGGAACTTGATTGCAAGTTAAAAATTTAATAACAAAATTTAATAAGCTGAAAGATGGCGCTTATTGTTGAGACATGAAAGGTCACCCATATTGTAGCTTGCTTATTTGCAGCAGGGAAGCCTGCAAAGCTAATTGGCTGAGAGGCTGTGATAGCATCCATAGGTGGTTCCATGGAAGGCAAAGCCATTTGCGGCATTTATTTATTTAGTTATTAAATTTGTATATTTCATCCTTTTTAAAAGTTCACAGGGTGCTTCACAACATAGAATGCAAAATGAGAACACAAAATACACAATAAAACAAAAACAAACTCATAATTCCCCCTCCCACAAACACATTGAAAAGACCATAGAATGTTAATCAGCCAAAGACCTGGTTATAGAGAAATCTTAAAGATATGTAATGAAGGCACAAAGTGAGTCTCCCTGGGGAGAGCACTCCACAGATGGGGAGCCACTGCCGAAAAGACCCGTTCTCATGTGGCTGCCCTCTGGATCTCTCATGGAGGAGGAACATGAAGAAGGGCCTCAGAGGTTGAACACAGAATCAGGGTCAGTTCATATGGGGAGAGGTGGTCCTTAAGCATTGCAGGGGGTTGGACTAGATGGCCCTCAGGGCCCCAACTCCAGGATTCCATGATTCTACGAAGAGAAGACGGAAAATGAGGCCAAAGGGAAATGAAATTAGGAAGGAACCAGGGTCAAGATAATACGGAGAGCCTTAGCTTTTATAGAAATGCTCAGTGCATTTACAAGTGCCTGTCCTTGCCCAACTGCTTTGTGAGAGGTGCAGCTAGGAAGAAGATGGCTAGGTGGGTGGGGAGGCGATGGCTGTGGCTTAGGCAACACGCAAAGGAGCCAGCCCAAATTGACTTCCATTTGCTCTAGTGTGCCTTTGTGACCTCATTAGCCATTGCACCAATTCCTGCTGTCACCTCAGCCCTATCTGCAGGGTTAACAGCGTACGCACCACATGCACAGTAATGGGGCGTAAGTAAATGTCAGCTGACTGTGGAGGATACAGTGACAACACGTTTTTACTCACCCCCAACCCAAATCTTTCCTGAACCAAATCTGTGCACCAGTTCCCTGGATCTCTTTCAATCTAAGGGATACTGGGATACTGTATTTTAAAACATGGACTTGTGCTACTTTCAACATCCCCTCCAGCACTAGCCTGGTTTGATGGTTTGTTTTGTTTTTTTAAAGATCTCCCTTTAACAAAATCTGTTTGGTGTTTTAATGAAAACCTGCTTTTAAAGCTACCATGTAAAGAAAAGCTGTGCACATAGCGTTTGGCTGCTGCGCCGCTTTCTCACCAGATGACGCCAAGGCAGGGTGTGTGTTTTCCAACAATGGCAGATTTAATTGCATGTGCAAAGGGCCCAGTACATGACAAGAGGCAGAGGCGGGCAGATGCCGTCACGAGATCGAAATAAGCACTGCACCTCCAAGCTCCATTAATTGGCGACATCTGCCTGGCGGAGGGGTTAAAGTGACATACCTTTTTAAAAAAAGAGACTTACCGTTAAGCCATGACGCTTTAAATTCCGTCCTTAAAGGATTCCTCAAACTCCGTAGTATAATTGGCTCCGAACCCAAGAAGTTGTTTGAAGTGGCGGAATAAAGTGCACCGTCTGGGCAGGAGAATAAAGAGACAGGCTTTTAAAAAATCTCTGGCACTAATGACAGAGAACAGGCAAGTATTAATTTGTGTGTGCATGACAGGCTGATGGCTATATTCAGAAGCAGGGCAAGCGAGCACATGGGCGTAGCCTGGGGGCAGCTGCCCCCCCAATCAAGTAAATAAATAAAAATACTTAACTAAAAGTATAAATAACCAGAATATTTGAAATAATAATTTAATAATAATTTTATTATTTATACCCCGCCCATCTGGCTGGGTTTCCAGCCAAATGTTTTGACAGATTTTTCTGAGTGCTTGGGGTCAAAAGAAGACATTTCATTCCAAATCTGCTAGACAGAGCCAGACAGAGGATGAAGACAGGTAGGTGTCCTGGCCCCCGTCTAACATAAATCCTGGCTACAATCATGACCCAGAATCATTCAAAATCTTAAGCACCCAAGAAGGAAGGATTAAAGGTGGGTGGAGCTGGAAAAATGCTGTTAGCATCTCAGAACTGTATCCAGTGTTAGCCCTACTCAGGGCAGATCTGTTGAAATGGATGGACATGACTAACTTTGGGGAAAGTCCACGGGGGGGGGGGGCGGGAGGCTGGCTTTATGCAAGCAGACAGACTGGGCTGTGTGTAACAAAATAAAAATAAATCGGCTTTCTGATTCCCTTTTCCAGCCAGTCTTTTGTTCAAGGCCTGAAAGGACATACCAGATCCAAAATATCCCCAGACACCTAATTGGAACAATTAGCACTCGGCAGCCATGACTAAGTGGGAAAGATCTCAGCTCCCTCCGTGGTGGTGTTGTGACAATGAGAAAACTCACCAACTACCAGAGACGTGTATCGCGTCCTCGGCTCAAAGGGGCACCTTCCCCGGCTTTCTACCACCTTGGACAGCAGCTTTAGCTTCCTATTGTCCATGACCTATTTGCAAACCAAGCAAAACCAAATGAGCCCAGCTTTTCTGTTTAGAGACAGCAGCCAAGGTGAGGCCCACATTCCCTCAGGGGGCCACATGGCAGGGATGGAAGGGGCAAGAGGTGAGACGGGGAGGGGCCAATAGATGCAGGCCTCTCTGTTCAACCATCAGGACTCTCCTAGGTTGCCCCAGCCACTCAGGGCAGCTACCAGCAAAATATAAAAACACAATAAAACATCAAGCACTTCTGCTACTGAAAGCTTTGCTCAAAGAACAGGGTTTTAGACATATATGCTTTAAAGCAACATAAACAAATAAATAATGCTTTTAAGGGGATCAGAACTCACAGATCATGGAACATAGAATCATAGAATTGTAGAGTTGGAAGAGACCCCAAGGATCATCTAGTCCAAACCCCTGCAAAGCAGGAACTGCAGACCTCTTGGACCATAAGGGGATTGAACCCATGACCTTGCCATCATTAGCACCATGCGTTAACCAATGGAGCTAACACAGGACGCTGCTTTTTACTGAGGCAAGTGGTCCAACTGGCCTAGTATCGCCCGCACAGACTGGTAGCAGCTATCCAGGGTTTCAGACAGGAAACTCTGCCAGCCCCAGCTGCAGGTGCCACTGGCGACTTGATCCTGGGGACCTTCTACATTCAAGGCAGCTGCTCCCCCTCTGCGCTATGGCCCTCCCCCAACTATATGAGAAAGGGGAGGTGTCAGGGTGCTGTTGACAGCTCCTGGCTGATTGCCCAGGAAAGCAGAAAGGCAGAGAAAGCACAGGCTTTTTAGTTCTTTTCACTATTATTCCAGATGCCAAGGCAAGGCAACCAAGCACCTTTCAGTATCTAAGGTTGCTCTGAGTGAAGCTCCACACACAGGACACACCCCTTCTTCGTACTTCCCTGTTCATCAGACTCCTCCCCTCTCATACAGTTGCTGTTGAGGGCCACCTGCCTCCAATCCCTCTGCTCTGCTATTCTCAGTGAAGGCCTGGTTTGTGGGGAGGGAATGGGTTCTGGGAGTCTCCCCAGTGACTGCTTGGGCTCTGCCTGCTCAATGCTACCTAGATTCTCATCTCCCATTATTTCCCAACTTCTTCCCTCTTGTTCTTCCTCTGGGGTGTGCCCTGTGTCAAACAAGTCCTGTAGATCTACACTATCTGCCCCTTCCTCCTCTCTGGAAGGCTCCTGGGGAGGTGGTCTCCATCACTCCTCTGCATCTGCCCAGTCCCTGACACTAGGGCACAATACTTATGTTCCACGAAGCAATTTTGCAAACTTACCACATAACGACAAGCAGGATAAAATGCATTGGTTCCGCAAACATATAAGCTGGTGGCATTTATCTTATGCAGAATGAGGATGTAATTCTGGCAATCTGCCTTTTAAAAAAACACACACACACACACAAAATGAAACAGTGGGGGGAAGGGGGAAACAGATCAAAAGCACACGTAGCTCTGAAAGCTATTCTGCTACTGGAGTTAAGCAGCCAAGTCTAGACTCAAAAGTCACCTGACTCACAATACTGGAGATAGCAGGGATTTGTTCATTCATTCAAAGACTCAGCAACTCGCTGAGAGAGATGCCTTGGACAGCCGCTGCCCGTCAGGGTAGATGGTGGTGGTGGTGATGATGATAATGATAATGATAATAATAATAATAATAATAATAATAATAATAATAATAATAATAATTCATTACTTGTACCCTGGCCATCTGACTGGACAGATTCCAACAGAATCAAAACACAGCAAAATATCAAACATTAAAAACTTACTGATATCCCTTCAGATATCTTGGGAAAGTCTTATGGTTTTTTATTTCCTTGACATCTGATGGGAGGGTGTCCCATCTTGCTACCCTCTACCTGGCTCCCTGTAACCTCACTTTTTGAACCACCAGAAGGCCCTCACTCCTTCAGGTCTATGGGCCAAGGCCATTTAGGGCTTTATAGGTCAGCACCAACATTTTGGATTTTGCTAGGAAATGTACCGGGAGCCAGTGTAGTTCCTTTAGGACTGGAGTTATGTGGCCGCTCCCAGTCACCAGTCTGGGTTAGATGGACCAAAGGTTTGACTTAGTGTGTAAGGCAGCTTCCTAAACCTGGTGAGGGTCTTAAGAGATTTGCAGCCAGAGGTCCCAAATCTGCCTCCGTCTCCAGGGAGGGCAATTGGAGTCCGTGGATTGCACCCTGTTCCTGGACAGAGACCCACATTGCTAAAGTGACCCAGAAGCACCATGGCCAAGACCTACTTTACTCTTTCCTCGTCGAAGGCACTCAAGCTTCCTGTTCTCTGGGGCAAACCAGGCCTCCTGGGAACCCAAAAGCAAATGAAACATTAAGATGAGTGAACGGAGACTGCAGACCAATTCCATTTTCTACTTTATAGTCACCACTGCTTTTAGCTGAACACTTCCTGGGCTGGAAGTGGAAGTACTAGGCATACTTTTGGGGCAAAGTTGTTGAACTCTTTTTCAGTTTTCCCCAGAGCTGTGAAGCTTTTTTTGTTATGTTTTTAGGGCATATTCGCCCACCCATAGATGCTCTTCCAGCGGCTTGCCTTGCAAGGGGGCTCACTCACATGCCACAAAGGCAGAAGGTTCCCCGTCATCCCCAGGTAAAAGGATATCAGGTTAATAGGAAAGACCTTCTCTCAGTCTGGAGAGCCACTGCCAGTCAGAGTAGACAATGCTGCACTAAATGGACAAGTCATCTCACCCCGGGCAAGGCAGGTTCCTATTTTCCACCTCCCAGCCCTGACATAAAAAGCTTTTAAGTTAGGCTTTTTTAAAAAAAAAAGTAAAAGAAAACAAGGGACTAGAATAATCTGACAATTTGGTTTCTTTGCAAAAAGTCTCCTGAAAGACACACAAGTGTGAATATTTTAAACAATGAAATAATAAAAAATTAATATTACATACCCTGGTTATTTCTTTAGAGATATCACTCAAGTCCAAAGCAAGGATATAGCCTTTGGCTCCCACATACAAAATGTTGGTTTCTTCACTCAGGAAGAGGGTGGAAAAATGGGATAGTCCTTGTTTCCAAAAAACGTTAAAATTCTCAGCTATAATAATAATAATAATGCCTTTATTGTCAATGTACAACCTGTGTACAATGAAATTTAAATGGAATATAAATGGAAGAGAGAAGACAAGGCCTAAACATGACTTGAAAACGACTATCTGGGTATCTGCATTCCACTTTCCCAGCAACGCTGAGCTCAAAATGGCTTATAGTAATAGCATTAAATATTAGCGAACATTACTGTCACTATAATCATAATGATCTGATGTAGAATTATATAATTATATATCATATAATAATTCTATCTGCTGCAAAACAGAGAGATTTACTTATAGTTTCTCTTGCTTTGCTTTCTTTTGGTGGGTCCACTCCGTGTGGAACAAAGATCCAACCCTTTGCTTTTCCATTTTGTTCCCTGCCAGTGGTAAATTGGTCTACAGGTGATGGGTTGAATCCAGACTAAGTCAGCTGCCCCAAGTTCCTCATGGAAATGCATTTCCTCATGGAAATGAGACTCAGGTTCTGCTGTGCCTAAATGTTCACACTGATTTTGGTGGGGCCCAAGTTCAACAAATGCAACCTGATGTAAATAAGTTAGCTTTAGAATACAGAGAGGCAATACCCTATGTGGCCTCCAGCCTTTTAGGGACCCAATCTCATGTGCCCTTACAGCGTTCTCTCCTCAGGAGGAGCTTGTCCCTCCTACACACCACCTCTAGCAAACATTTGGATTTCAAAAGGTACAAATTTTCCTGTTACATCACACCTACCACCACCTTGGCAACCTGCCAATTCTGACCACTCCTGGGTGAGCAGACAATTCTTAATAGCTCAGTACTTGGTTCCCCATTGTTCCTTAACAGCTAGCCTTAGCTAGCCTAGCCAGGTTGGTTTGCATAAACTAACCCATTAATTCCTTGCCTGGCACAATTCTGAAGCTTGTATTTTCCCTTCATATACAAATATTATCTGAATACTACATTTTATTACTTTCTAATATGCACTCTTACCCCAGCTATAACAATAATGAAAACGATCCCTTCTAAGAAAATAAAAGGTTGCCCTGTTGTATCAGATCTCCCTAGCCCTGACTTTGTCAGCTGGTGCCCTCCAACTGATGGGAGTTTTAGTCCAAAGCCTCTGGAGGGCACCAGGTTGACAAAGGCTGAAAGAGTCTGACAGACTGCCTCAGCACCCTTTTCATTAACAATTGTCGTGGGACACCCACAGTGGTACACCACCGTTTTTCTTGGTACACAGTCCAGAAGACCCTGTGTGTTGTTGAGTGACCGGATCGTTCCCCAGAGGGCAAGAAGGTGAAAGAAGGCTGTGATGACGCCCGACATTTCGTTGCAGAGCCCTGCAATCTCTCCGCGTTGGCTCAGTGGCCTTTAACAACCTGAGGTGCAAAAGACGGTTTCAAAGGTTTCATACAGCAATGTTTGCAGTCTCTACGGTGGACTTTACAATAAACCCTAGACAATTTCTTTCCTTCTTATAATAATAATACAATTTTATTTATACCCCGCCCTCCCCAACCAGAGCCGGGCTCAGGGTGGCTAACACCAATAAAATTACAATAATTGGGAGGGGGGGAACAAACAAACAAACAAAAAAACAGTTTATTAAAATATGGGTTAAAATAGAATTTAAAATGCAGCCTCATTTTAAAATTAGCCCATAGATCAAAACCCTAAAGGAAGGGAAACATAAGGGTCAGACGGAGTCCAAACCAAAGGCCAGGCGGAACAGCTCTGTCTTGCAGGCCCTGCGGAAAGATGTCAAGTCCCGCAGGGCCCTGGTCTCTTGTGACAGAGCGTTCCACCAAGTTGGAGCCAGTACTGAAAAGGCCCTGGCCCTAGTTGAGACCAATCTAACCACCTTGCAACTTGGGACCTCCAGAGTGTTGTCATTTATGGACCTTAAGGTCCTCCATGGAGCATACCATGAGAGGCTGTCCCGTAGGTATGTGGGTGCTAGGCCACATAGGGCTTTAAAGGTCAAAACCAGCATCTTAAACGTGACCCTGTACTCCACCGGGAGCCAGTGCAGTCAGTGCAGCCAGTGCATTTGTATGTAAGCTGTGCATGGTTCTGTCCTGCCCCCCGTTTTAGCCTCACAAGAAGCCGGTGAGGCAGATTCAGCTGAGAAACAGCGACTGGCTCAAGGGCAGCTACGGAGCTTCATGGCCGAGTGTGGATCCAAAGCCAGGTCTCCTGGGTCCTAGCCAGCCTATTATTACCTTTAGAACAGAGCCGTTACACACACACAAATACCAATCACCATTTTTGCTTCTTAAATTGTGGCGTCCAGAACTGGACACAGAAGTCCAGGTGTGATCTGACCTGCAGAACAGAGCAGGATTATGACTTCCCTTCATCAGGACACAAGACTTCTGGTGCTGCAGCCTAGAATAGCATTCACTTTTTTCCCTGCTGCATCACACTGTTGATTCATGTTCACCTTGTGGTCTACTAAGACCCCTAAATCCTTTTCACATCTACTACCTGCAAGCCAGGTGTCTCAGGGCTTATATTTGTGCAGCTGGTTGGACACCATTTTCCAGAGGTGGTATCCAACAAATTCTAATAATAATAGTAGTAGTTGTAGTAGTAGTAATAATAATAATAATAATAATAATAATAATAATAATAATAATAATAATAAAAATATTGCACCCCGCCCACTCTGGGCGGCTTATACTCAGAACAGACCCATAACATGGTTACAAGTGCCACATAAAACTCCTGCCACAGCTGAAGGAAGGCAATAATTTTAGCGTGGTGGCACCTGCACTTTGGAACTCCCTGCCTGTTGACCTCAGGCAGGCAACTCCACTGCACTCTTTTTGGAACCTGCTTAAAATATTTTTTTGTTTAGGCAAGCCTCTCCAGACATGTAGGAGTTACATGCACCCTTGTTTTTAGCACTAATGTTGATTTCAATCACAATAGTCCTGTAAGATAAGCTGACAAGATAATGTAAAAATATGTAATGTCAGGTAATGTAAGATAATGCTGACAAAGTGTGTTTTAATCTCTTGCTGTTAGTGTTAATTACCTTTTGAAAGGTTTTAATTAGTTGTTTGGAACTGTGCTTTATTGATCATTTCAATATTTTTTGCAAATCACTTAAGAGGTTAATCTTCTTATTCTTTCTAAGTTTATAAACTTTGTAAGTTTTGCAATACAAAATAAAGAACTGGGTCTAAGTTGTTGAATTTCATCTGACATGGGAGACGATCCTTGAATCCTGCTGTTGCCACAATAGGCGCTGTGGTCTAAACCCCAGAGCCTAGGGCTTGTCGATCAGAAAGTCGGCGGTTCGAATCCCTGCGACGGGGTGAGCTCCTGTTGCTCGGTCCCTGCTCCTGCCAACCTAGCAGTTTGAAAGCAGGCCACTGCAAGTAACCCTAGCCTCCCCCCCAAAAAAAATCACTTTGAGGTTTTGTTTCTTTGTCCTGTAATGACCCCCCTATATCACACACACATCCTCAGGACATCTCCCCTCCGCCCACCAAATATCCCCATATTAACTCTCCAAGGGCGTCTCCCCACAAAAACCAACACCCCAACCCCAAAATACTCCTCTCAGGAAACCCCCCCTCCCTGGTCTTCAGTTGCAGCCTCCCCCTGCCCCCCATTATTATGATGGTCTCCCCATAATTCTCCTCAGGGCAGCCCCTCCCCTCCATTTTTCCAGCTCCCCCACACGCCTGCGCCCCACATTCTTCTCAGGATCCCCTTATTTCATGCATTCCCGGGGGGCTGGACTAGAGGGCCTTTGGGGTCCCTTCCAGCTCCTCCCATTACAGCCCCCTCCTCAATTTCGCCCTTATCAACCCCACCTTTTTATTCACCTGCCACAAGCCCCCAGGCGCCCCCCCCCACTTTATTTTCAGCCCTCACCCCCACCCAATTATTAAGCCTGCCAATATTATTATTATTACTATTATTCCCCCTCAGGAACTCCTCCTCCCTCTTTTCCCTTCAGGTTCTCAGCGGCTTTCCCCGCTCCCCCCTCCTCAAATTACCTGGCGGGGGAGGGGGAAACGGCCGGGGGAGGCGCTTTTATACGCCCACGTGACCTGCGCGCCCCCCCCACTTGGCCCCGCCCCCTCCGAGCTCCGGAACGCGCCTCGCTCGAGGGCGGACAAAGGAGCTTCGGGGGCGCGCGCTCCAGGCTGCAGTTCTGGAGTTCCAAACAATCAGTCCATCAAATGGATTATTACCAATTGTTATTGGTAATAACTGGGGTCCCTCCACCCTACGCCAAGCTGCAGTTATGTATTTTGTAATAACAATAAGTAAATAGTAGTAGTAGTAGTAATACTAGTAATAAGAATAATAATAATCAGCAGCAGCTTCGGTGCTTCAGTTCTGGACTATGCAAGAAAGCAATCAATCAAATCAATCAATCAATAGGCAGGCTTCAGTTCTGGACTTTGAAACAAACAGATTGCCAATTATTGTGATCTCCTTACACCCTACTCCTTACTGCAATTCTGTGTTTTGTAATAATAATGATGATAATGATAATAATAATGATCCATATATCTCAGGGCAGTTTACAGCATTTAAAAAACGGGGGGAAACACGAAATACATAATGAAAACAAGAACAAAAAATAATTATATGAATTAGTTTTCTTACCAGCCTAAACTTCTATTCAGTAGAACCATCCAAATTAATGGAGCCAAGTTAGACCTATCTATTTCATTTTGGTGAGTCTGCTTTCAGGAGGGCTGACGTCTTGGTGTCTTGCGCCACCTTCAAGTTCAGAGCAGCCTAAGCCAGATCCTTCATTATTTTTTATTGCAGGGCCCCTTCCAACTATATGATTCTATGTTCTTCTCCACTCCTGTTTGTTTGTTTGTTGCTTTATACAGGTTTGCATCTAAATAAATGTAAAGCCTACTCAAGGGAAACCCACAGAAATTAATGGGCCCTTTATTTCCTTTATTTATACTTATATTTATTTATTGCATTAGTAAAGGTAAAGGTACCCCTGCCCATACAGGCCAGTCGTGTCCGACTCTAGGGTTGCATGCTCATCTTGCTTAAGAGGCCGTGAGCCGTCGCCGTCCGAAGACACTTCCGGGTCACATGGCCAGCGTGACGAAGCTGCTCTGGTGAGCCAGCACCAGCGCAGCACACGGAAACGCCGTTTACCTTCCCGCTATAAAGCGGTACCTATTTATCTACTTGCACTTAGGGGTGCTTTCGAACTGCTAGGTTGGCAGGAGCTGGGACCAAACGACGAGAGCTCACCCCGCCGCAGGGATTCGAACCGCCGACCTTTCGATCAGCAAGTCCTAGGCACTGAGGTTTTACCCACAGCGCCACCCGCGTCCATTTCCTCCAAGGAGCTTAAGGTGGTTTATGTGGTTCTCCCCCTCCTTAATCCCAGGTGGCAACTGGTCTCCAAGGTCACCCAGCAAGCTTCATCCCCAAGTGGGAATCCAAACCCTGGTCTCTCCCAGGTTGTAACCCTTCACTCTAACCACTTTGCTTCTTGAATTGCAATGGACATACTTTGAATTTATGGGCTGTATGGGGTGTTAGGGGAGGGGTAGTACCTCTGCTGGGGGATACCTGCTTCTTCTGGGGTTTTTGTCCACCTTTGGTCCCCACCCTGCACTCAGCTCCCACCTGCGGCTCCTAGAAGCTGCCAGCAGGCGACAGCGGCCCCAATCCCGGAAACGGCTTTGACTTCCCCTGCATGCAAAGACAGGCTCTGGTGGATGGAGAGGACAAGAGCAAGAGTGGGTCCAACAGGCAAGGAGGCAGTTTCTGCCCATGCTGTAGAGTTTGTCCACCTGGGAAGGAAGCCCATCTAGGAGAAGGAAAACTCTGCTCCTAAACCTCTGCTGCCTTCCGGGATATCTTCAGAGGAACAGGCTCAGCAGTAAACACAACACAAATCCAGAATGGAGTCCCCAGGATGGTTGGGTAGCACCTTGTACGCCTCCTTCCGGCAACTCCTGGTGCCCAACGTCTTGCTCTGATTTCCTTTGGACCACCTCTGTAGTCCAACCCCCTACAATGCAGGAATCACAGCTAAATAATCCCTGGCAGGTGACCATCCAACCTGTTTAAAAACCTGCAATGAAGGAGAGCCCACCCCCTTCCGAGGGAGTCGACTCCACGGTCAAATGGGTTTTACTGTCAGAAAGTTCTTCCCAATGTTGAGCTGCGTCTCCTTTCTTGCACTTTGAATCCCTTGGTTTGGGTCCTCCCCGTGAAGCAGGAGAAAACAAACTCGCTCCACCTTCCTTGAGGCAGCCCTTCAGATATTTGAAGATGGCCATCCTATCTCCTCTCAGTCTTCTCTTCTCCAGGCTAAACATCCCCAGCTCCTTTAGGAATTCCTCCTAAGGCTTGGTCTCCAGACCCTTGATCATCTTGGTCGCCCTCCTCTGCCCACATTCCGCTTGTCAATATTCCTTTCAAACTGGGTTGAGTTGTATCCAACATCAATTCTTGTGTAGTGCCGCCCCACTGAAATGCATGGTTTAATTTCAATAGGTCCCACTCTGCATAAATCTTAGGTTGGATATAGCGCCCCCAGGTAACCCATGGACCTGTTACATAACCAGATGGTCACTGCTTTCTGCAGAAGAGCTTCTCCTTCTATACCCCACAATGTAAGAGGTTAAATGCAATAAAAAGCAAAACATCTGAACATTATTAAGATCAAAAATATACACATTGGGATCTCTTAATTCTTATATCACGTGGAACAAGGCCTTTTCAGTGGTGGTTCCCTAGTTGTGGAATGCCCTTCCCTAGAGAAAGACCATCTCCACCATTGTTATTAACTTTCAGGAGACATTTGAAAACATTCCTGTTCACTCCCAGGCATTTGGTTGGCAGAAGAATATCACTCTTAACAACCCCAAGATCACTGAATGGAACAATGTTTTTACCCAGAACTGCCTGTAGTTGTTTTAATTGTTTTTAAGATTTTTTTAAAAACTGCTTTAGATTTTCTTGTTTTTAAATGGCTGGCGTTTCTGCTGCCCTGGGCTTCTTCGGAAGAGAGATAAATTGAAGAAAATTCTCCTTTCTCCAAGTTCTGGCTGGCTGCTGGGTAGAAAGATCTTGCTCTCTCCTGCTTCTGTGCCACCTGTGCCTTTATTTCCCAGTTTTTGCTTCTCACACCTCCCCTTCCACTGGTTCAGCTTTTTATGCAGCTTGGCGGGACAGTGGAGGGAAGCAGGAATGTGTCGGACAGCCAACTGTTGCCACCGCGGACACAGCCAGGCTGAGGGAGGAGTGAGCAACCAGCAGCAGTCAAACTTAGCTCAGTGCAGATCCTGGGAGCTCTTGAGCAGACCTTGCAAACGGGTGAAGGCATTTAGCAGGGGAGTTTAAGGGGGAGGCCCAGAGTTATTTCTCTTGGTGTGCATAGGAGCAGAGACATGGAGGGCAAGGGAGCTGCTGCTGTAACACCTGTGCCATGTTTGTCATTCTGCCGGAGAACAAGCAAGTGGAAGTTGGTTGTCTTGCTGGAAGAGAAGGGGCAGCAACTTGAGGCCTGCCTAGTCACACCCCAAGCAACAGGTTCACATGCAGAGTTACTTGACAGAGCTGAGTTGACTGAGACTGAGCACCAAGAGAGATGGGGTGCCCCCAGGGTGGAGAAAGATTGCCCATTGCAAGAGTCTAACCCCTGAAGGAATGTGACACACAGGAGGAGGACAGTCACAAACCACACTTTGTCATCAGAGTTGCAAAATCGCTTCCATGCTCTCATCTTGGACACAGATTCTTGGCCAGAAGAGCTAGGACAGCAGTTGCCAACCTCGGAAGACACGAAAGTGGCTGTGAAAGGTACAGTGCACAGAACAATTATTGCCACCCCCAGAGGAGAGAGAGACAGGAGGAGATGGATTTGGAGGATCCATTCTTGATCTAACCCAATCAGATCCAAGGCTACTGACCATGGATGAGTATGCCAATAACGTACTTGCTAACTTCCGTGGAGACAACATTGGAGAAAGGGAACTGCAGCCTAGAGATGATAAGCTGGGAGGAAGGAGTAGGAAGTACTCAAAACCGTAAGTTTCCTCTTTGTTTCTGCCTGGTTTTCTGTTCTGTTACGTGGAACAATGGTCTTGTTTTAGGGGTGGGAGGAAGAAGAAGAAGAAGAAGAGTTTGGATTTGATATCCCGCCTTTCACTCCCTTTAAGGAGTCTCAAAGCGGCTAACATTCTCCTTTCCCTTCCTCCCCCACAACAAACACTCTGTGAGGTGAGTGGGGCTGAGAGACTTCAAAGAAGTGTGACTGGCCCAAGGTCACCCAGCAGCTGCATGTGGAGGAGCGGAGACGCAAACCCGGTTCCCCAGATTAGGAGTCTACCGCTCTTAACCACTACACCACACTGGCTCTGGGAGGTGGGTCTGGCAGACACAATAGACAGGCTGTGAGCTGGTGCTGGTGTTGCTGCTATTAAACATGCTCTAGTTATCTCCCGCTTGGACTACTGCAATGCGCTCTCCATGGGGCTACCTTTGAAGGTGACCCAGAAACTACAACTAATCCAGAATGCAGCAGCTAAACTGGTGACTGGGAGTGGCCACTGAGATCATATTACACCGGTCTTGAAAGACCTACATTGGCTCCCAGTACGTTTCCAAGAACAATTCAAAGTGTTGGTGTTGACCCTGAAAGCCCTAAATGGCCTCAGCCCAGTATATCTGAAGGAGCGTTTCCACCCCCATCGTTCTGCCTGGACACTGAGGTCCAGCGCTGAGGGCCTTCTGGCAGTTCCCTCGCTGCGAGAAGGGAAGTTACAGGGAACCAGGCAGAGGGCCTTCTCAGTAGTGGCGCCCACCCTGTGGAACAACGCCCTCCTATCAGATGGTAAAGAAATAAACAACTATCTAACGTTCAGAAGACATTTGAAGTCAGCCCTGTTTAGGGAAGTTTTTAATGACTGGTGTTTTAATGTATTTTTAATCTTTTGTTGGAAGCCGCCCAGAGTGGCTGGGGAAACCCAGCCAGATGGGCAGGGTATAAATAATAAATTTTATTATTGTTATTGTTATTCCTGACTCCTGTCCTTGCTCATGGCTGGGGTTTCTGTGTGTTTCCTCCTGTCCCTCCCTCCCTCTTCTCCTCCTCCTCTGGGGCGTGTCCTGTTTCCCACCACCACCATGAACCTGGGTCCAAAGTGTACTCTCCTGCCATTTCCCTGGAAGCCACTCTTCCTCATCCAGCCAGTCCCTGACACCTATGTATGTACAGAAGTAACAGCGAGGAACTGAAATGAGGCTAATAATCAGGTTCGTGTTTATTGAAGGCTTTTTTGTTAAAAAATAAAATAAAGCAAAAGGATTACATGTCGTTAAACATTTAAAAAAGAAGCGATGAATCGGCTAACAAACTTCTCTTTCCACTACGGGTCAATACTGTTCAGATGGCACAGGAAAGGGAGAAAGGGGGGGGGAGAGAATCCTGATCAAGAGTTACCGAAAAAACACCACCATCCCCAAAGGGAGGGTTGGGGGAGAGACACAGGATAAAGAATACACATGCCCTAGCGACTGCAGCAGCAAAGTGTCCGTGGGTGCTTGAGGTCTTCGTGAGAGAGCCTGGAAAACTAGAATAAGAAAAAAACACTAGTGAACCAAATTGGCTACCAAGTGGCCATTTTTGCTCTGCATTTGAAAATATTTTTGCAGACCCATTAAAGATGTTCCCCAGAAGTTGCCCAGTGAAAAGCAGATTGTTAGAAGATATCACACACAGGAAAGGGGTGGATCTTGGTTTTAAAATCACCCCAAAAGATCCTTGGGTGAAAGCAACAATGGGAATTTAAATAACACCAGTGTTGCTCAGTTCAATGCTGCCCTAAAACAAATCTTAGCATAAAGGAAGACTGGCTGTAATCATGATTATCTTGAAGGGTTGGAGAAGAGTAAAAGTCCTCTTTGGCCCCATCCCAAGAAAAACAGTGTTCCATCTTTAAATAAAATTTTAAAAAATCAAAGTTTGCTATGTACTCCTGCAGCTGTGGAGAGAGTCCAGAATCAGGAGGACCGCCCCAACGAAATTGGGTTTAAACACACAGCCGTTTATTCCCCCAGCCTGGATGTGAACATTCGTAAGTTGACACCCCAAGAATTGGGTTCAAGCCACAAAGGCAACAGAATCAGCTGGAGGAGAGGAACCCAGCCCTCCCACAAAATGCAAGAGAAAAGGTTTGGGTTATGCAGTCATCTCACTCTCTGCAAGCTCCTGAAGTCAGGAGGAGAAAAGGTTCTAGCAACTCGAAAGAAGACACGAGAGTTGGCTGTAAATATGAGGTGGGGTGAAAACAAAACTGTGGCTGAACACAGAAGCTTCACATCAAAGGAAAGGGGCTATTCAAACTGCAACAACTCATTTATGGGCCAGGGGAATCAGCAATCTGACTCACAGGGGGCCAAAAGGCCAGGTTGGGCTGAGAGCCAGTTTAAGAAAAATAAAAATGCAATGCTCAATTATGAAAGAGAAACCAAAACACCCCTAGAAATTAAGTAAGAGAGTGGTTTTAACAGGAGGGCGGCCAGACCCCTGTGGCAGCTTCAGCCTGGCAGAACTGGATCCTGCAGGCTGAAGGAAGGGGGTCTTGTGGGGTTCTTCAACATCTTGCTATCAGCAGCAAACTTCTTGGCTCAAACAACGGTGGGAGCCCCACCTATGAACGACATGAACGACACTTGCATTTCTCAGAATGGCAGAGGAAGAAGTTCCCCATTGCATGTGCCTGATGGCGGCATGAAGCTCAGGCTGACTTCAACACCAACTCTTTGATTCGGAGTTTCCTGGGGCAGAAAAGCTTGTTCTGAGCGGGAAGGAATGCCGCAAACCACAGTGGAGTGTGGTTTCCCACTGAAAAGTCCACTTTGGCTATGAAGGGGGAAGGAGGTGCGAATGATCCTGCACATCACAAGACCCCACCACAAATGGGTGGCTGTGAGAAACCAAGGTCCACAACGGACAGAATGTTTCAGAGTTAACAACTGGTTTGTGTCCGGTCACCAAGATGAAGTAGCCTTTTGCAGAAAAGCCGGGAGAGGCTGGGTGGCAAATCGTTACTGGAGGACTCCAGAGGGAAAATGGATTAAAGAGAGTGTGTGGACACTCATCATTCAGAAAACACTGTCAAATTCAAATCGGGATGCTGTCGAGACGGTCGGTTCGTAAGTAGAGTCCTTGCACATTCTAGAGGGGTCCTATTCAGCAATGGAGTGAACCCAAATTTCAGACAACCTTGTACCCCCCGCAAAAAAAAAAAAACTCTCCAGAGACCTTCCTGCAAGAAAACAGCACTAAGGTTCCTTTGCAGAAGGAAAAGGTAACCAAGACTGTTAAAGAAGACAGAAATGCAGGCCAAGCGAAATCCTGCATGCCTGGCAGTGGCACTGATCGCTGATAACACAGAAACAAAAGTGAGATTCGTATCTGCCCTACACGGTATCGGTTTCTACATACTGTTTGTATTTCATTTAAAGCAAACAAAGCGATGGTTCAATAAATCGAACAAGTAATGGTTATTCAATAACTGCTGCTTGTCGTGCAGACCCAAAGCAGTTGAAAAGAAAAATACATCACATTGTGTAAAGGTGGAATTTCTGAATCTTGCGAAAGGCAGGATGATCATATTGTCCACATAGAGGACAGTCCATTTTTTGTCCTGTCTGGAATGGATACAGGCACCCCCCCCACCTACGCAGGGGTTATGCTCCGGGGGCCCCACATGCAGAAGTGAAGTTGCATAAAGTGGGGTGCATGCTGCTTTAATAGGGAGGGCGCACGGGGAAGAGACAGACTCACATGTGTCGACGGGGTTGCTGCCCTGAGCCTTCTGTCCCATCCCTCCTGGGCAGCAGTCCTGAGAGACTTCCAGGCCACAGCTGTTCACTTCCTTTGATTTCCTCCTCCCCTCCCCTTACCACTTTGACCCACAGCCCCCCAATCAGCTCAGCTACTCACACTCTCCCCCCGCCACTCCTTTTCTCCTCTGAGCACTGACCCTGCCTTGTTGGGAGATGGATTTGTGCCTCACCTGCTGGCTCAGGGCCGCACGGCTAGTGGGGCACTGGGTAGCCCATCCTCTAGGGTGCCCTTGAGAGGTGCTTTCAGACCCAGCAGTGAAGTGCCCAGGCGCTGATCCCATGTGCCCATGTCCCCTCCCTCTGCCCACTCACACCTTGAGATTGTCGCTGCAGCCAGGACCAGGCTGGTGCGCGTGTGTGTGTGTGTGTGGACATGTGCCCCACAGCACTCGTGGGATCTGAGCTGCAGGTAGAAGCAGCCAATTGATTTATTATTTCCCGGCACTGCATGCACACGTGGTTGTACGCAAGTCGGCCTTGCGTAAGTGGGGGGGGGGGAGCCTGACATCCTAGGTTCTTGTTAAGAGATTTGATCAAAAAGCAGACCCAGCCGTTCAGAATGGCAATGTTTGTTTTGTTTAGGAGGTTACGGATTCTTCAGAGCAATTTGCTCTTCTAATTGCTCCAAATTTAAAAGGGGTGGGGGGTTCTCAGAAGGTGGCCTGTCCTCTCTCCAGACCTCTCTCCAGCACAATGATCTTCGCTTCTTTGGTTCAAAGCTCATTCTGGTCATTCATAATGGAAACAAACATGAAAAAACGGTTAAAAACAAACCCAGATAAGCTTTGTGCACACACAGAAAATATCTCCCTGGTCAAAGAAGAAGAAGAAAAAGCTTGAAAACAGAAGAAGAGAGAAACAGTTATTTTAATCTTGCAATTAATTCAAAAGGGGGTGAGGGACAAAGCTGGCTTGCTGCATACAACCTACCTATTTATTACAGGCTCTTTTCAGATAGTACATCTGGATCATCCTCTGGCGGAAGGTGGCAAAGGTGTCCTCCTTGTTCTCGTCCCCCGCCACACCCAAGCCCTCCCCCGCTGAGGTGGAGCCCCTAAAAGGGAGGCAAAGCAAAGAGAACGTGAGCACATGCCCAGCCACCAAAGCGCAGGGCCAACGGGCGATGTCCTGGCCGCTATGTTTCCAAAGAGGTGACCGAGCTCCAGGTCAGTCCTTCCCCACGCCCAGTTCCTTTGGCGCGTGCCAACCCCAAAAGCATAGGAGTCCATTTTGGACAGTGCTAGGAAACAGGCAAACAAAGCTGCACCCTTAACACTTACACAGTTGTACTCCCCTTGCAAAAAGAAAAGAAATAGAAAGGCGTGTTGGGATATGTAAGAACATCAGAAGCAGGTGGATCAAGCCAAAGGGTTCAGCATCCTGTTAGCCCAACCAGATGCCCCCAATGGGAAATCCACAAGCAGGATTCGAACACAAGAGCCGCTCTCCCCTCCTGTGGTTTCCAGCAACGGGCATTCAGAAGCACTGCCGCCTCAGTGTGCAGGCGGAGCAGAGCCATCCTGGCTAGCAGCCATTTGTCTCATCCTCTTTTAAAGCCATCCAGGTTGGGGGCCATCCTGTGGCAGCGAGTTCCACAGCTTAACCACAGACTGCGCAAAGAAGGGCTTCCTTACATCTGTCCTGAATCTCTCAATGTCCAGCTTCATTGGACGTCCATGAGTTCTACAGTGTTACGAGGGAGAAAGACCTCTTTCTGTCCCGCTTTCCCCATGCTGTGCATAATTTTATGATGCACCTTTTCTCTGAGCTACAAAGTCCCAAATGCTGCCTCCCGAAACTCATACAAGTTGGTGGCCATCCCTGGCTCCTGCAGGAGGGAGCTGCATGAAGAAGGCCTTTCTTTGGGTGGGAGACCCCGGGGTCACGGCTCGTAAATGAGCCCTTTGCTTCATTCAGCAGCGGGTCTGTGAGGGTGTTGGGCAGGGGGCGTCCTCCCCACCCCTGCTCTGGCAGAAGGCCAACACAGCTTCCCAGCACTTGCAAAACAGCTGCTCTCACTACAGATGCTCCTGTCGAACACATGAAACTTGGATGCCATCTCAAATCGCTGGTCCAGCACAGTAGGCGCTGTCTGCTTTGAATGGCAGAAGACGTTGGACAAGCCAGCCAAGACCCACTTTAAACAAGGGGTGGTTGGGATCTTATGGGTGAGACGTGTAGGATGCGCCTCTGCCAAAAGCACGAAAGCTGGCAATGTGTCTAAGACTGTAGAGGCTGGGCTCATCTTTGCCTCTACAGAGGCCATGAGGTCAACTCTCCCCATGAGGAAGGACCATGTTGCCTCTTAAGCATTTGTAAGAACTCGGCCATTCCACATGGCAGCTCCTACACTTTGGAGCTCCCTCCTTCCCTATTGCAGCCAGCAGCAGTTCTGTTTATAATTATTATTTTATTATTTATATGCCATGCACCTGACTGGGTTCCCCCAGCCGCTCTGGAGTCTCAACAAAAAATTAAAAACACAATAAAACATCAACCATTAAAACTTCCCTGAACAATGCTGGCTTCAGATGTCTTCTAAAAGTACCAATTTTTCTCTCTGACATCAGAGGGGAGGGCGTTCCACAGGGCGGGTGCCACTGCCAAGCAGGCCCTCTGCCTGCTTCCCTGTAACTTCGCTTCTCACAATGAGGGAACTGCCACAAGGCCCTTAGAGCCGAGTGTCCAAGCTAGACAATGGAGGTGGAGACGCTCCTTCAGGTATACAGGAGCAAGTCAGTTTAGCTGACTGCAGCCTCTGGGAGCTTGTGACAAGGACTTGGGGGCATTGGCATGAAAGGACCAGAGCGCTGTCTTATGGTCTATGCAGGACGGCCAGGAAGCTGCCATGTTTGTCTTTCTGCCTGAGAATGTGCAAAACTACAAGAGCAGCAAGTGAAAACTGGTTGCCTTGCAGTGATGCAGGGTGAGTGTCGGCCCCTAGAGAAGATCATCAACCACTGCAGGAGACAAACCCTTGGAGGAGAGTTTCTTAAAGATGAAATATTGAAGGCACAAAGGTAGATGATTCCAACCCGAAAGAGAAGTCGGAGGCCCAGCCTCATGCTTTCTGTGGCACGTCACCTGTGTTCTGCTGGTACATACTGTGAAGATCACAGAGCATCTATTTGACACACACCGTGATGCTGTCAACGCCTAACAGAAATGGGGAGCATTCCTCAGCACCGTGAAAAATAAGCCAGGTAGCCACACCAGAACTCACTTCCCAGAAATCACTTAGAAGGTACCTGCAAGTTTCTTTCTGGGAGGGCTAAAGTCTTTGGGGTTTTTTGTTTTCTGTTTCTAAATGACAGCTCAGAGCTGGGGGTGCCTGCCCAGGGGCACCACTGGAAGCCTTTGTGGGCAGAATGGTGCCCGCGGGTGCTGAGCTGGCGACCTCTGCAACAGGGAATAACTGTGGTGAGATATCAATCCATTCCAAAACCTGTTTGTTTTTGTTTTTATAAAAAAGGAGTGTGCCACTCGCTCACTTGCTACGTACACTTTGACGGGGTCCTTGATGCCCTTTCCGTGGGCTCCAAGCCCAAGGCCTTCCTTCCAGCCCATTTTCTGCAGCATCTGGAAGCCAATGTTCTTCTGGTTCAGCCGCTTGTGGGAAAACTCCAAATCCTTTGATTTTTGCCACTGAGAACAAAACTGATCATCAGCATCTCTATCATAAACACCTGGCTCGGCTGTTGCATTAAGGCAACAGAATGCTGTAGCAGGATTGTTGTTGTTGTTGTTAATAATAATAATAATAATAATAATAATTTGCATAATCTAATAACATTATACAATGTTATATTAATAATATAATAATAATTTGTTTCAGTCTATTGCAGTGTTTCCCAAACTTGGGTCTCCAGCTGTTGTTAGACTACAACTCCCATCATCCCTAGCTAGCAGGACCCATGGTAAGAGATGATGGGAACTGTAGTCCAAAAACAGTTGGAGACCCAAGTTTGGGAAGCCCTGGTCTATTGTTTTAACTTTTTGTGTGTTTTAAATTATGCTGCAAGATTTTTTTAGTGACAACTTTGCTTTTTCATCGGCTTTTTAAAAAAAAAATTAAAAACTTACCCTAAAAACACACACAACACAACGCTTTGAGGTTGCTTCCATAGTCAAGCTGTGGGTAACTTTTATGAAGAGAAATAAATAAATGCACTTTGAATAAATGGGCAATTAACTGATCTTTTTAAAATTTTATTGTCTTCTTCAGAAATTTGTGCGAACTACTCCTCTGAACAATGCTTTTTATAGAGTTGGGGACATTGGGGATCAGTTCAGGGAACCAAGGGGGCCTGAGAAAGTTTGGGAACCGCTGGGCTGAGGTTATTGCCAGCACCTAACTGGTGAACAGAAGCTGACACTTACATTTCATGGAGGTTTCAAGCTGGCTTTGAAAGCCGCACTGGGAGGCCTCTGCCTGGAAAGCACAGTGCATTAAATCTCTTAAAGAATAAATGCACGTATTTATTATTTTGCCCCCTTCTCACCTTATTTTTGTGGGACTGATAGCCGCGGGGTCGGTCATACGCAATCCGGACGGGGTCGTGGACTGTAATGCAAAAAAAGCAAATCCAGAGGTCAAAGGTCAATCCAGACACAAACAAAATTTGACAAAGAATTACCTGCCTGGCTTAACCCGCCCAGCTGCCTCACTCACCTTTCGGTTCATCGATGAGACAGACCCTCTTGGAGGCTGGGATCAGGCCCACCTTCAAGGACCTGCTGCTGGCCCTCTTGCGCCCAAAGGCCCTGCCCCGCAGAGGACCCGGGGCAGATGCCTCTGAGGTGGTGCCCTCAGGCTGCCCTTCTCCAGCTGTACTCAAGGCTCCCAAGCTGGCAGACCCTGCTTGAGCGTCCCCCTCTTCCATTCCAGACTGGGGAGCTTCCTCCTCCTCCTCTTCTTCCTCCTCCTCCTCCTCCTCCTCCTCATTGTTCTCCCTGTCGCCCTCCGAGGGTGCGGGGCTCTCGCTGGCAGGCCCTGGAACGGCGCTGAAGTTCATGGAGGGGCACAGCTCGTAGACCTTCATCCGGTAAAACCTGAAGGCTGAGCTCTCACGGTCATGCAGGAACCTGAGTGAGAGCACAGGAGGACATCACTGCACTGTGGCTGTGTGACATTTCTGCGTCGCTTCCCCTATGAGGACCCTGAGGTGGCCCAGACAAGTATCTGGGGACAAGCTGCAGCTCTGAGCTTCACAAGCTCTGAGCTTCACAACCAGGCTTGTTCACTGATTTATTTCTAAAAACATTTAGATACCACTGTATCAAAGAAATATATCACAGCGGTTTGCAACCAAACTATAACCCATCTGCTGCACTGACTGAGACTAGAATGGAGTCACTGTGCCCCTAAAGGACCAGGTGTGCAGCCTGAGGGTCTGTCCATGTCTCGCCAGAGTGGTCCATGCTCTGGTTATCTCGCACTTGGACTGCTGCCATGCGCTCTACGTGGGGCTGCCTTTGAAGGTGACTTGGAAACAACAACTAACCCAGAATGTGGCAGCTAGACTGGTGACTGGGACCATATAACTCCAGTTCTAAAGGATCTACACTGGCTCCCAGGACGTTTCCAAGCACAATTCAAAGGCCTGGTGCTGACCTTTAAAGCCCTAAACAGCCTCGGCCCTGTATACCCGAAGCGGCACCTCCCCATTGTTCAGGCCAGCCACTGAGGGTCTTCTGCTGGTTCCCTCCCTGCGAGAAGTGAGGTTACAGCGAACCAGGCAGAGGGCCTTCTTGGTAGTGGCGCCCACCCTGTGGAACCATCAGATGTCAAGGAAATGAACAACTATCTGACTTTTAGAAGACATCTGAAGGCAGCTCTCTTTAGGGAAGTTTTTAATGTTATATTACGCTAATAATAAATATAGTGATAGTAACATGCCACCACTTTACAGATGTTGAGTGTTGTTACTGCAATGCCTTGCTCATGCAATGAGGCTCGGGATGCTCCCGGAGCATGCCACATGATTTTCCCGGGGAGGGAGAGGGTAGCTCACCACAGATCCGGGTTATCTGCGCTGTTGTCGATGCTGAACTGCTCAATCTCAGGTCCCACCTCCGCCACAAACTTGGCCAGCCTCTCTGCTGTCACCATCGTTTTGGGATCCACTGGAAAGCAAGGGGGGGGGAGAGATAACAAAATTATTCCCGCTCCATTTTAAACAGGGCTTATATTGCTGGAACACTGGTGGGATACAGCCACAAAACACAGGGATACAGGACGCTAAATAGGGATGATGGGAGTTGTAGTCCAAAAACAACTGGAGACTAGAGCTGGATGATATCCGGTTTTCAACACTGTGATATATCAGCAGCTAAAGACCGCAATATGTAGATATATCATGGTGTCTGGAATGTATCTCGGCTGCAGAAAATAATACAAAATTGGCATGTGCTCTGCTAACTAGGCTCAGGTGGCCTCAGGGGCACAAAGCACCTTCCATCAGGTTCAGGTGGTGGCCCAGCTATGCCCTTAACTTCATCTATGCTCTAGTAACCTCCAGGTTAGATTACTGCAGAACATTATATGTGGGGCTGACTCTTGACAGTTCGGAAACGTCAGCTGGTGCAGAATTTTACAGCCAGGCTGCTCAGCAGGGCAAGGTGGTTTGAGCATACTGCACTGATCCTGGCCTGCCAATGAGTTTCTGGGTTGTTTTTTGACCTCTAAACCTTAAATGGCTCAAGGACTGCCTCTCCGACACAGACCCTGCCCTCATCCTCTGAGAGGTCCAGACAGTGGCAATACGAGAACAGGTCTTTTCTGCAACATGGTCTGACTCGTGATAAGACAGCTTCCTATATTCCTGTGTAATAATGTTAAGAAGAGCCTGCCAGAGAGGTCAACCTCCTAAGTGTCCCCATAAGCTCCCCACAGCGAAGATCCCAGAGAGAATTATGGGAGCAAAGGCCAGCTCAGCAAAGGAGCACCTTCTTTGGATTCAAAAGCCCCTGGGCACAAAATGCCCACTCCCACTGAAGGAGCAGAGGGAAGAAAACCCCATTGGCTCAAGGCAGCTGTTCAGTGGGCCAAAGGACTGACTCAGCGGAAGGCAGCTCAGCAGCTCAAGGGTCACAGGTCCCACCTCCAGCTAAAAAGGAGGGGAAAGAACCTCTCAGCCCAGGCAGGCAATGCACAGCGAGACCAGGCTAAGACAGGGGGGAGACCTGGTTTTCAGCATCACAATATATCACCAGCTAAGCATCATGAGACACTGATGAATCATGCAGTCTGAAAAAGGGGTGCAACTCTGTACAGCAGAGGCATTGGCTGGCTTCGTGGTTTTTCCTGCTCTTGTGATTCCTTGTAGGGGAGCGCTGAGCCAGCAGAGTTAAAAGGGGCTGCAGGAATTGAGAGACACATTGACCGGCTTCGATGTTTTCCCCCAAATTGTGATTTTTGCATAGAGCACACAAGCACACACAAACCACAATTTGTGGTATGTTGCCAGGTCAAAAATTATGAAACCAATATCATGATATGGAGTTCAAACTGGTTTTGGATGAGATATTGCCAAGTCCTCATAATAAATAACAATAAGTTTATTATTTGTATTCCGCCCATATGACTGGGTTGTCCCAGCCACTCTTGGCAGCTTCCTATATATACACATAACAAAACATTACACATTAAAAAGCTTCCCTATACAGGGCTGCCTTCGGAAGTCTTCTAAAGGCTATTATTATTATTTGTTGTTGTTGTTGTTTAGTCGTTTAGTCGTGTCCGACTCTTCGTGACCCCATGGACCAGAGCACGCCAGGCACTCCTGTCTTCCACCGCCTCCCGCAGTTTGGTCAGGCTCATGTTTGTAGCTTCGAGAACACTATCCATCCATCTCATCCTCTGTCGTCCCCTTCTCCTTGTGCCCTCCATCTTTCCCAACATCAGGGTCTTTTCCAGGGAGTCTTCTCTTCTCATGAGGTGGCCAAAATATTGGAGCCTCAACTTCACGATCTGTCCTTCCAGTGAGCACTCAGGTCTGATTTCCTTAAGAATGGATGCGTTTGATCTTCTTGCAGTCCATGGGACTCTCAAGAGTCTCCTCCAGCACCATAATTCAAAAGCATCAATTCTTCGGCGATCGGCCTTCTTTATGGTCCAGCTCTCACTTCCATACATCACTACTGGGAAAACCATGGCTTTAACTATACGGACCTTTGTTGGTAAGGTGATGTCTCTACTTTTTAAGATGTTGTCTAGATTTGCCATCGCCTTTCTCCCAAGGAGCAGGCGTCTTTTAATTTCGTGACTGCTGTCACCATCTGCAGTGATCATGGAGCCCAAGAACATAAAATCTCTCACTGCCTCCATTTCTTCCCCTTCTATTTGCCAGGAGGTGATGGGACCAGTGGCCATGATCTTCGTTTTTTTGATGTTGAGCTTCAGACCATATTTTGCGCTCTCCTCTTTCACCCTCATTAAAAGGTTCTTTAATTCCTCCTCACTTTCTGCCATCAAGGTTGTGTCATCTGCATATCTGAGGTTGTTGATATTTCTTCCGGCGATCTTAATTCCGGCTTGGGATTCATCCAGCCCAGCCTTTCGCATGATGAATTCTGCATATAAGTTAAATAAGCAGGGGGACAATATACAGCCTTGTCGTACTCCTTTCCCAATTTTGAACCAATCAGTTGTTCCATATCCAGTTCTAACTGTAGCTTCTTGTCCCACATAGAGATTTCTCAGGAGACAGATGAGGTGATCAGGCACTCCCATTTCTTTAAGAACTTGCCATAGTTTGCTGTGGTCGACACAGTCAAAGGCTTTTGCATAGTCAATGAAGCAGAAGTAGATGTCCTTCTGGAACTCTCTAGCTTTCTCCATAATCCAGCGCATGTTTGCAATTTGGTCTCTGGTTCCTCTGCCTCTTCTAAATCCAGCTTGCACTTCTGGGAGTTCTCGGTCCACATACTGCTTAAGCCTGCCTTGTAGAATTTTAAGCATAACCTTGCTAGCGTGTGAAATGAGTGCAATTGTGCGGTAGTTGGAGCATTCTTTGGCACTTCCCTTCTTTGGGATTGGGATGTAGACTGATCTTCTCCAATCCTCTGGCCACTGCTGAGTTTTCCAAATTTGCTGGCATATTGAGTGTAGCACCTTAACAGCATCATCTTTTAAAATTTTAAATAGTTCAGCTGGAATACCATCACTTCCACTGGCCTTGTTATTTGCAGTGCTTTCTAAGGCCCATTTGACTTCACTTTCCAGGATGTCTGGCTCAAGGTCAGCAACCACACTACCTGGGGTGTACGAGACATCCATATCCTTCTGGTATAATTCCTCTGTGTATTCTTGCCACCTCTTCTTGATGTCTTCTGCTTCTGTTAGGTCCTTACCACTTTTGTCCTTTATTATGGTAATCTTTGTACGAAATGTTCCTTTCATATCTCCAATTTTCTTGAACAGATCTCTGGTTCTTCCCATTCTGTTGTTTTCCTCTATTTGTTTGCATTGCTCGTTTTAAGAAGGCCTTCTTGTCTCTCCTTGCTATTTTTTGGAAATCTGCATTCAATTTCCTGTATCTTTCACTATCTCCCTCGCATTTTGCTTGCCTTCTCTCCCCCGCTATTTGTAAGGCCTCGTTGGACAGCCACTTTGCTTTCTTGCATTTCCTTTTCATTGGGATGGCTTTAGTTGCTGCCTCTTGTATAATGTTACGAGCCTCCATCCATAGTTCTTCAGGCACTCTGTCCACCAAATCTAAATCCTTAAACCTGTTCCTCACTTCCACTGTGTATTCATAAGGGATTTGACTTAGATTGTATCTTACCGGCCCAGTGGTTTTTCCTACTTTCTTCAGTTTAAGCTTGAATTTTGCTATAAGAAGCTGATGATCTGAGCCACAGTCAGCTCCAGGTCTTGTTTTTGCTGACTGTATAGAGCTTCTCCATCTTTGGCTGCAGAGAATATAATCAATCTGATTTCGATGCTGCCCATCTGGTGATGTCCATGTGTAGAGTCGTCTCTTGTGTTGTTGGAAAAGAGTGTTTGTGATGACCAGCTTGTTCTCTTGACAGAACTCTATTAGCCTTTGCCCTGCTTCGTTTTGAACTCCAAGGCCAAACTTGCCAGTTGTTCCTTTTATCTCTTGACTCCCTACTTTAGCATTCCAATCCCCTATTATGAGCAGAACATCCTTCTTTGGTGTCACTTCTATAAGGTCTTGTAAGTCTTCATAGAATTGGTCAATTTCAGTTTCTTCAGCTCCAGTAGTTGGTGCATAAACTTGGATTACTGTGATGTTAAAAGGTCTGCCTTGGATTCGTATCGAGATCATTCTATCATTTTTGAGATTGCATCCCAGTACAGCTTTCACCACTCTTTTGTTGACTATGAGGGCCACTCCATTTCTTTTACGGGTTTCTTGTCCACAGTAGTAGATATGATAGTCATCCGAACTGAATTCGCCCATTCCCGTCCATTTTAGTTCACTGATGCCCAAGATGTCAATATTTATTCTTGCCATCTCATTTTTGACCACATCCAACTTACCCAGGTTCATGGTTCTTACATTCCAGGTTCCTATGCAATATTTTTCTTTACAGCATTGGACTTTCCTTTCGCTTCCAGGCATATCCGCAACTGAGCGTCCTTTCGGCTTTGGCCCAGCCGCTTCATCAGCTCTGGATCTACTTGTACTTGTCCTCTGCTCTTCCCCAGTAGCATGTTGGACACCTTCCGACCTGAGGGGCTCATCTTCCAGCGTCATAACTTTTATATGCCTGTTGTCTTTGTCCATGGAGTTTTCTTGGCAGGGATACTGGAGTGGCTTGCCAGTTCCTGCTCCAGGTGGATCACGTTTGGTCAAAACTCTCCACATTATTATTATTATTACTTACTAAATTTGTATACCGCCCTATACTTGCAGGTCTCACAGATATCATGAGTCACAATATACTGCCAGGTCAAAAATTATGGAACTGATACCACAATATGGATTTCAATCCAGTTTTGGGTGATATGCAGTATTGATATATCGCCCAGCCCTAGACCATAGCACATCCTGCCTGCCTTGTCCCCCCTGAAATTCACCTACCGTCAGGAAACTGGCTTGCTAGCCCAAGTGAGCTTCCAGCACTCAAACCTTCCCCGGATGCATCTTCTGGGTCGGTGGCTGAGTCACAGACGCCCGCCTTTTCCAAGGAGGTCTCTGCTGGGTGGGCTTTGGGGCTCTGCGGCAGGTCCTGCTGCTGGAGCATTGTCCCGGTGGACAGGAGCGTCTGGGTCCCCACGGTGGCCCGCTTCACCCTCCGGGCTCTTGCCACCCGCCGCCGAAGGATCCTGGGCCTCCTCTTCCAGAAGAGCCGCTTCTTGATGCGGAGGACCTTGCGGGCGCGCAGCAAGGCCTGCATGACAGCCAAATCCTGCAGCTCAGGGGTCTTCTCCTGCTTGGGCTTTTCTTTGGCTGCAGACCTCAGCCGATGCATCTCGGACAGCTTGAGCTTGTAATATTTGTGCTCCAGGCTGTCCTCTTCCTTCAGAAACCTGTTTTGACCAGGGGGAAAGGAGCAGCAAATCAAAACGGTAGAATTATCACGAGAAACAATTTACAACAATAACTTAAAATGTACAAAAAGTTTAAAAGAACAGACCAAAACCAGTTAAAATTCACATCAACTTTCTAAACATCTGGGCAGGATTTTCTGAACAAGAATGTTTTCAGCAGGCACCAAAAATGATACAGTGAAGGCACCTGACTGATATCAATAGGCAGGGAGTTCCAAAGTGTAGGCGCTGCTTTGTGAAATGATTTGAGTTATACAAATAAGGAGCAGGTATTAAAAAGGTAAGTTAGGCTGGCCCAAGAAGCCCTGTTCCTAGCAGGTTCTGAGAGTCAAGGGAGCGGAAAAAACCACAAAACTACCAGAAGATATTTACCAGTACTCTGGCTTGTCCTTCAACTGAGCTCTCTCTTTCCCTTTCAGAGTGCCGGAAACGATGCCCTCCACCATCTTCTCGATTGTCTCGGTGACCTTCCGGTCAGCGCGTTGTGGAACTAGGACAAGAAACAGGGGTGGGGGTTAGGATAAAATGAAAACCTTCCTCGTGGGAACCTCACAATCACAAAATTACAGTAGGGTCACGACTCACACGTGATTTACTTATACACTTGCAGCTTTGCATGGGAGGGGACGGGGGATAATAAATAAATGGAGAGCTGGGGAGGGTGGTAGGCAGTTGGGAGAGGCCATCTGAGATCTCACGAGACCTTTCCAGAGCCCAGCAAACCAGAGGGCATAAAAAACTATTTCCGCACCAGGTTTTCTGGCTGCAGAAAAAGCTTTCAAGCTTACTGGGCTCCAGGAAGGTCACACGAGACCTCTGGGAGGCTTGGGGGGGGGAAGGGCTGTGAGATGTCAGATAGCCCTAAAAGCCTCCAACAGCCTTCCAGAGGCCTCACACCACCTTCCCAGAGCCTGGTTCTCTGCTGCAGTGTTGAGGAGTCCACGGGGCAAATGAGGAAATTATTCCCAAGCGCAGGCTGTACGCAAAAGTAAGGTAGAGAGAGCTATGTGGGGTCAGTTCTCGGGGTCTCACTGACTTTGTGTGATTTTGCCTTTGCACAAGAACCCCTAGAAAGTAACTCCGCATAGGTTGCAGCCCTCCCATACTACAGATCCTGCCAATAAGACATCAATTCTCATTTTTCTGCAACTGCCTGAGGAAAAGGACAAATCATTAACATTATTGGTGATTTTGGGTGTGGATTTTCCCTTTGGGTATATTTAATTTTGGAGAGTGGGAAGGCACCACCTCATGCCAACAAGCCCCAGACACAAACTATAACCCTGACAATTCAAAATCTTGGTGCTGACCTTAAAGCCCTAAACTACCTTGGCCCAGTATACCTGAAGGATTCTCTGCACCCCCATCGTTCAGCCCAGACACTGATGTCCAGCTCCGAGAGCCTTCTGGCGATTTCCTCCCTGAGAGAAGGGAAGTTACAGGGAAACAGGCAGAGGGCCTTCTCAGTGGTGGCGCCCACCCTGTGGTACGCCCTCCCATCAGATGTCAAGGAAATAAAGAACTATCTGACTTTTAGAAGACATCTGAAGGCAGCCTTGTACAGGGAAGTTTTTAATGGTTGATGTTTTATTGTGTTTTTAGTATTTTGTTGGGAGCTGCCCAGAGTGGCTGGCGTAACCCAGTCCGATGGGAAGCACATGAATCGTAACATCATCACCATTATTAACCCTAAGAAATAAAATTAAATGCTCACAGGGACAGCAGAAGCAAGGTGGGAGAAGAGGACAAAGACTCACAAACTGAAACAACGTGAACACTAGAAAGTTTATAGGTGGAAATAATTCTTCCCCCAAAGAAAAAGGACCCAACTGACAACAGGAAGAGTCAGTGGGAAGTAGCACCCGCTTACTCTTAATCTTCAGCTTGGTTTCCGGAGCGCCCTGTGGGCTGGGGGTCTCCACCCTTGGCCTCTTCAGCTGCACCTGGGACCCGCTCTTCTCCAGCCAGCCCTGCAGGTGTTCAATGTACTCCTTCCCAAACAAGGCCGAGGTGTCGAAATTAGGGAACAAGATGGGCAGAGGGGCCACCTCCTTCAGCCCGATGGCCTCCAGGATCTTCTCCTGCCGGAAGGAGGAGGCCATGGCGAAGGTCTGGCCGAGGAGCACCAGGGCCTTCCGGCAAAGGGAGGCAGTGGTCTCGAAGGCGGCCGCCATCTGCCCCGGGTCGCTGAAGCTGCTGGATTTCAAGCTCAGCTCATAGGCATTGCAGGCCATCAGGAGTGGGACGGCGCTCTTCAGGAGGCAGGCCTGGAGGTGCATCATGCTCCGGTCAAAAGGTTTGATGAGCTGGAAGAAGCCGTTCTTGGTGGCCACCAGCTTCTTTTCCAGCAGCAGGTTCAAGAACTGGCCGTCCACTTTGGGCGTCCGCAGCGCCGGGTGCTGCAGAGTCCGCACGACGGAATAGCAGAAGTCCTGGTGCTCCATCTTCAGCGAGCACTTGAAGGAGGCCAGCATCTTGGCGCACGTCTCCGTCTCCAGCTTGAAGAGGATGCGGAACATTTCCGTGTACTCTGGGTCGTTCTTTATCTTGTGGAAGCCGGCCCACTTGATGATCTCCACCCCAAAGGTGGTGAAAACGTCCAGGGGGCCGCTAAGGTCCAGCTGCGGCTCTTTGTGCTGGGCATGCCTCACGGTTTCCGGGTCGTCGTGCAGCAGGGTGCCCCTCGGGAGCAGGGACGGCCGCTGGCCAAGCTGAAGGTGCTGAGTGGGGAAGGCCCTCCTCTTGGAGGGGGCGGCGGGCTCCCCCAGCAGGTCGCCTGAGGACAAAGCCTGGACCCATTTCTTCACAGGGAGGACCGCAGCTGTCTTGCTTTTGACCAGGCCCTGTGGTGCCCGGATGCGCTTTGCCATTAGCTCCCTCCCCGCATGTAAAGAGGGAGGAAACTCTCTCTCCGCCTCCAGGCCATACTCCAGGTTGTAATCCTGACTCCGCACAGTCCCAAACTCCTCTTCCAATAGCCCTGGAGAATGGAAGCCACTCAACAGCTCTGCTGAACTGTAGTCCGCATCACGGAGCCTGGAGGTCTCTCGGGAGGAGGCACGGCCATAGTCCCTTTGCCGAGAGGCCAGGCGACCGTAACCCCGCTCCCTGGCGGATGGGCCGGGGAGCTCCCTTTCCGCAGAAGACAAACGGCCGTAGTCCCGGTCACGGGAAGGGGCCTGGGCGTAATCTTGGTTCTGTGAGCATGTGGGTGTGTAGTAATCCTCCTCCTCTGACTGATAGGGTGGCACCGAATAGTCTTCGTTGGCGGCTTCTTGGGCTTCTCCCCTCCAGTCGCTGTGCAGGTACTTTCTCTCCTCATGGAAATTCCCGTCCTCATCCTCGTACTGGGTTCGCTGCGCTGGGCGCGAATGAACTGTAGGGTGAAGAAAAAAGAAAGCTATTTCTCATGGCACAAAACCAAGGACACCGGGAGAACTCAACAAGGTGCTTCTTCAACTAATTGGTGCAACATGATGGCAGCTGTGTAAAAACTAAGTAAAACAAAATTGGTGCAAAGACTCTTTTGTAATAGAACGGCATGACTTTATTACATACATCATTGAAAGATTAAAATAAAGGCCTCTCCTCACATTATAAAATCTTCTGGATAACTTTGATAAACAGTTTATTACCTTCTACACAAATAATAAGGTAAAAGTACCCCTGCCCGTAGGGGCCAGTCTTGCCAGACTCTAAGGTTGTGCGCTCATCTCACTCTATAGGCCGGGGGCCAGCGCTGTCCGCAGACACTTCCGGGTCACGTGGCCAGTGTGACAAGCTGCATCTGGCGAGCCAGAGCCGCACACGGAAACACCGTTTACCTTCCCGCCAGTAAGCGGTCCCTATTTATCTACTTGCACCCGAAGGTGCTTTCGAACTGCTAGGTTGGCAGGCGCTGGGACCGAACGACGGGAGAGCACCCCGCCACGGGGATTCGAACCGCCGACCTTTCGATCGGCAAGTCCTAGGCGCTTTGATAATAGTTTGATATAAAAACTGGGAGGTTTTGTGTGCAAGGCAAATGCTCCACTACTGAATCACAGCCTTTCTCAAGCAAGCAGGATTTCCAAACAGGAGCCAAAACCCAGAGGTAGAAAACCCATGTTTTGCACGCTCTTAATCTCAGGGTTGTGGGTTCGAACCCCATGTTGGGCAAAAGATTCCTGAATTGCAAGGTGTTGGAATAGACCACCCTTGTGGTCCCTTCAAACTATACAATTCTATGAAGGCAAGAGGGTATTTATTTGCAAATTTACAGAAAACTGAAAGTCTAAATGTCACCAAAAGGGATCTGGAAAGGGTATCACTTGGAGGATGGAACTGGAGGGAGGAGGGGGGGGAAAGGGAAAGCAGGAGAACTTGCTTTCTTGATCCAATGATAATGATGATGATGATGATGATGATGGAAGACCTTTAGATCACTGGCCTTAACTGATGGGTTAGGACCCACTAGCACAGCGGTTCCAATCTTTTAGGGGCCACCGCTCCCTTGGTTCCATAAACTCATCCCCAGCACCCCTTAACCTACCCTCTAAAAAGAATTTGAATAGAATTTGCATTACCCGCTAAAGGAAATAAAAATGCCATAAAATTCAAAACAGTTAACACTTAATTGCACATTTATTCATAATAAATGATAATAACAATTTATTATTTCTACCCTGCTTACCTGGCTGGGTTTCCCCAGCCTCCCTGGGCAGCTTTCAACAGAACATTAGAAACAGAATAAAACTCCAAACATTAAAAACTTCCCTAAACAGGGCTGCCTTCAGCTCCAATAAATTAGTTGAATTAATTCAACAACTATGATGAACTTTTCAAAATCTGACAGTCACCCCTCAAGTACTCCTGCCTCTTAGTGCACCCTCTAAGTTATCTCCCTGCCCCCCAGGGGACACTAACGCCCCCTTTGGGGCCACTGCACTTGTGGGTCACAGTCTGGTCCAAGGAGCACTGCCACCATATAAATTCATGAAAGATTAAGAAATGCATGTTTGGGTTAAAAGTGAGTCCTGGGGTCTGGAAAAGTGGAAGACTACTGCTCTAGGTGATGGTGATTGGGCCCCATAAAATACCAGCCCCAGGCATCTTGGCCGATGGACAGGGGTGATGGGGATGTGCACTCCAGCAGCAATTGGAAGGGCCCAGACTCGGGATCCCTGGACTGGGAAAGTTTTTTATTTCACATCCACATCAGCCTGGATAGTTCGCTCAGTTAGAGCATGGTGCTGATAACGCCAAGGTTGCAGGGTCCATCTCCATATGGGACAGCTGCATATTCCTTTATTTATTATTAAATTAGTATACCGCTCTGTACCCACAGGTCTCAGGAGAGTTCACAAAAGCACAATGTAAAAACACAAAACACACCATAAAAATAAAAACAAGAACCACTCAATAACCCCACACTAACACCTTTTAAAAGGCCTCTGGATGGCAATCAGCCAAAGCCCTGGTTGAATAGGAACGTTTTTGCCTGGTGCCTAAAAGTGCTCCCTGGGGAGAGCATTCCACAAAGAGGGAGCCACTGCAGAACGGGCCCGGTTCTTGTGTTGCCACCCTCCAGACCTCTTGCAGAGGCGGCACATGAAGAAGGGCCACAGAACATAATCTCAATATCAGGGTCAGCTCATATGGAAAGAGGCTGTCTTGAGGCACTGCAGGGCGTTGGACTAGATGATCCTCAGGGTCTCTCCCAACAATTCTATGATCATTGGGACTTTTATAAGGTTAGCAGCACACTCCACTTGTGGGCTAGCCACTAACCGCAAACCCTTTAATGCCAAGCCAAGGGAACCTTTTCTGCCTCAATGGACGTATCCCATTTTGGGCAGACCTTCTGCGCAAGGGTCGAGGCTGAGGGGGAGCAGAATAGAAGGTGAATCCAACCTTTTGACAGTAGGCTAGCTGCTGCACACACTTGCACTCACGCATCTATCAATCTACCCTCCATCCTGGCAAGCAAAAGGCATGGTCAAGGCTCAAGGACACATCCCAGCTACACAAAAGCACTCGTGTGTGTGCACGCACGCATGCAAAGCAGGGCTGGCAAGGAGAGTGGCCTGGGGAGAATCTGGAGGGCGGCATCTGGCCTCCGAGGCCTGAGTCTCCCCATCCCTGCTTTAGGGGAAGGTCTCAGAAATCGAAGAGCGTGAGGCATGTGGAATTATTTTCTGGCTCAGATTAAATTTACTGGGGTCATAACGCTCACCTAAAACGACTTGAGTCTCTGAGGCCGGAAGCAGGACCAGGGTCAAAGGCTGACCACCAGCAGCAATAGCTCAGGGGCATTGGACCAACCTACCTCTCAGCTGGTGGAGGGCCTCTTCGATGGGGTCACTCCTGTCCAGACGATGCTGTTTCACCTTGACTTGCATGAGGGCATCGAAAGACTCCCGCGTCATCCGCCGAGCAGCCATCTGGGCTCTGTAAGGAGAAAGGAAGAAGAGCTAGGGAGGAGGGGGAACAGTTGGCATCCATATCACCAAGCGATCCTATAGCATGATTCTTAAATCAGGGAGCGAGTAAAATAAAGCGAGTAAATCTCTTCTACTACATGCCCTGAATCTTCCAACATTCAGCTTCACTGGATGCCCAAGAGTTCTACTGTTAGGAGAGAAGGAGAAAAACCTTTTCTCTATGCACAGCAGAGGGAGAGAGCTATGGACCTCGCATTTTGTTTCTGGGCTTCCCAGCGGCATCTAGGTGGCCAGCATAAGGACAAGGGGGGTGGATGCAGCAGGGCTTTTCTTATGCTCTACCTGCTCTCAAACGCATCAGGTGACTTACGCCAGTTGTCTTCAACTGCTACCAGGCCAAAGCCTAATCGATGGTGGGTCACAGCAGCAGCATTGCCGAATGATACTAACAGTAATAATTTTTATTACCGTATTTTTTGCACCATAACACTCACTTTTTTCCTCCTAGAAAGTAAGGGGAAATGTCTGTGCGTGTTATGGAGGAAATGCCTACGGGTGGCATGCCTACAGATTTTCCTCCTCTAAAAACTACGTGCGTGTTATGGTCGGGTGCGTGTTATAGAGCGAAAAATACGGTATTTAAACCCCACCCATCTGTGTAGCCGAATGATACTAACAGTAATAATTTTTATTATTTAAACCCCACCCATGGACGCGGGTGGTGCTGTGGGTAAAAGCCTCAGCGCCTAGGGCTTACCGATCGAAAGGTCGGCGGTTCGAATCCCCGTGGCGGGGTGCGCTCCCGTTGCTCGGTCCCAGCGCCTGCCAACCTAGCAGTTCGAAAGCACCCCCGGGTGCAAGTAGATAAATAGGGACCGCTTACTGGCGGGAAGGTAAACGGTGTTTCCGTGTGCGGCTCTGGCTCGCCAGATGCAGCTTTGTCACACTGGCCACGTGACCCGGAAGTGTCTCCGGACAGCGCTGGCCCCCGGCCTCTAGAGTGAGATGGGCGCACAACCCCAGAGTCTGTCAAGACTGGCCCGTACGGGCAGGGGTACCTTTACCTTTACCTTTTATCTGTGTTATATGTAATTTTTTATTTTATTTTAACAAGTGGGTCCCCAACACATGTTGAAGACTAAGCGACTCACACCTCTGTCACCAGATGCAATATTCAAAGCTGCATTACTCCTGCTTCCAACTTTCTTCCAATGAAAGGAGACAGAAACTTTCAGCTCACTGAGAGACTCCAGAGCAGCAGGTTGGAGGACAGAGGAGTTTTCATTTTTACGTTTTGCAAGACAGGGCCAACAAGTTCAGAAAGGAGCCTCTGGGGTGGGGTTAAAGGAGTGGCCTACTCTTCTCTGGTCCTTGTTTCTGCTGAAAAGCATCCACCATCCATGTTGAAAGGCAGAGCTGGGTATCATCCGCATACTGGTGAGCACCCAGCCCCAACCCCCTGGTGAACTCTCCCAGCCATTTCATGTACAGTCATACCTCGGGTTGAAGTAGCTTTGGGATGAGTATTTTCGGGTTGCGCTCCGCGGCGACCCAGAAGTAATGGAACGCGTTACTTCTGGGTTTCACCGCTCGCGCATGCGCAGATGTTCAAAATGACATGCGCATGCGCAGAAGCAGAAAATAGCGACCCGTGCAGAAGCGTGGATGCGGGTTGCGTTTGCTTCAGGATGCAAACGGGGCTCCGGAACGGATCATGTTTGCATCCAGAGGTACCACTGTAGATGTTAAAAAGCATGGGGGAGAGCATGGAGCCCTGAGTGGTCCCAAACACGCATCTCCCACCACTACTTTCTGGACACTGCCCAGCAGGAAGGAGCAGAACCCCTGCAAGGGTCGAGAAGACAGGTTTTGCCCATCCAAGCTGCTTGTTTGCATTCTCGGCACTCCCACGATTTTATCTGCAAAAGCTTTGCAAAATAGCTCCAAAGGGGGATGCTGGGGTCCAGCTGCCGCCTCTCAGCCTAGCCTACCTCACAGGGTTGTTGTGGGGGCTTGAGGGGAAGGGGAGCGCCACATACACCACCTTGAGCTCCTTGGAGGGGGGAGGGGGGCTATCGATACCATAATATATTTTAAAAATTCATTTATTGCACAAATAACATAAAGTACATACAATGCAAACATTACACATTACTGTACAAATGATCCAAGAATTTACAAACATAGAAAAGAGGGGGGAAAAGAAAAGAAAAAGAAAATTAGTTTGTTTAAAATAAAAAGAACCTTCCAACTACTGTATACCCGTTGTACTATTTTGCGATTTAATTATTATTTTTTTACACAGTTTCCTAGAATTGTTTTTTTCCCCCTCCTTAATTCTGATTTCCTCCACCGTTGCATTATTTTACAAGACTCATTCGATATCTGCCAGGAGGCTTTTGCTACCGTAATAATTTAAAATATCCTCAAATAACGGGGGGAGAGCCCTTTGCCCAGCCCCAAAACCAGTGAACAGTGGTGGGAGCAGGAAGGGTTATCCAAGCTGGCCAACGTGCAGCCAAGGAGCCCCTCTTTGGAAGGCGCCTCAGGGGCAGGAACCGCGGGGTCTGCGGACGGAGGTTGCCAACTTACCAGGCTCTCCCTTCAGGCTCCGGCATCAGCTCGCAGGGCCCTGGGAAAAGTGAAAGCCGCGCTCGCCGCCTTGCCTGGGGCAGGAAACTGGCTGCTCCAAGGCAGAAGAGGAGGCGGCCTCCAGGTCAGTTGGCAACCTCCGGCCTTCCTCCCCCTTTTCTTTCTTTCTTTCTTTCCCCCCTCAGAGCTTCCACTTACCGAAGGCGGAATAAGAAAAGGGAGGGGGCGGAGTTCCCCCCTTATTTAAATTAGTACAGAATCTCCTCAGCAACACACAGCCTCGAAGCCAGGCAGGGAAGAGGGGGCTGCCACTACGCACGCGCAGAGACTCTACCGCGCACGCGCGTGGAGATTCTAGTGGGAGATTCCTACTGCGCGCACGCGCAGCGGCTTTCTACCCAAGCCCCGCCCTTTTGAAAAGATCTCGCGCCTCCAGCCCTTCTTCCCTCCCTCTTGTGCGCACGCGCAAACACACACACACAAAGAAACCCACAAACCCCGCCCCCTGCAGGCGTTTCCCCGCCCACCAGCCCTAGTTATGCGCAGGCGCGGTGAAGTGCCCTCGGCCCCCCTTCCGCCGCGAGGGCTCTGTCGCGAGGCGCATGCGCACAACGTGCTTGCCAGCTTTCTTTCTTGGGGCTCAGCTGCTTCTGCAGACGGAGGCGCTTCTTTCTCTTTCTGCTCCAAGTGAAGGAATCATTAGCAAATCCCATTGTTGTAATTTCATGTTGTAATCCGCCCTGAGCTCTACGGATGTGCAAATTTAATTAATAATAATTAGTAGTAGTGATTGCTTCCTTTTCAACAGAAACGAGGAAAAGCTGCTTTCCAAACTGGCAAAACTTAGACATGAGTCCTAGAATTGTGCAGTTGGAAGGGACCCCCCCCCGCAAGGCGGGAATCTCAGCTCCAGCCTCCAGGAAGGCTCCTTACTGCCCTTGAGTCTCTCCGTGGGCTGGAGGAAGGCTGAAAGCTGGAGTAATGCAGCTTTGAATATTGCATCTGTGAAGAGGGGTGCAACTCTCACCAACAGGCATTTAAAGACCCACTTCTTAAAAATAAAATGAAATTCTTCCTTTGGCGACCACTTGTAACCAAGTAAGATTGTCTTCCATGAATACGGTCTTAACAGTGTGTCCATAAGTGACTGTGGAGGCCAATTCTGGATCCACACGTCCTTCCACAGTGGGGACATTGGTTTCTGGGCAGGAGCTGATCATGGAGAGGATTTGCCAAGCAAGCCTTTCTCTTAGCACGTTTCTCCCTCGCATCCTGAGTTTCTGCTTCATAGTCTGTGACGCCTTTGGTTGAGGCTGCTTCTCCGACTGGAGCACTCGCAGGCCAGTGTTTCCCGATTTTCCATGCTTATACTGCATTTTTTAGATTTACCTTCAAAGCATCTTTAAACCTCTTTTGTTGCCCACTGGCATTACGATGACCATTCTTGAGTTGGGAATAGAGTAGTTGCTTTGGAAGACAATAATCAGGCGTCCGCACAACATAACCAGTCCAAATAAAATAATACATAAATGGCCATAGAAAAGAAGCTTGTTCCATCTTCCATGTGACAGCCTTTGAGATATTGGAAGATGGCTTTCATATCTCCTCTTTCCAGGCTAAACATACCCAGCTCCTTCAACCATTCCTCATCAGGCTTGGTCCCTTGATCATCTTGGCCTCCCTCCTCTGCACCCCTTCCAACTGGACAACATCCTTCTCAAATTGTGGTGCCCAGAACTGGACAGAGTATTCCAGGTGTGGTCTTCCCTTGATTGGGACACGATGTGGGAGATCAAATGCAGGAAAATCTTCCTGATGTAGAATAGAATGTCCCTATTTTCATCTGAGAACTCATAGAATCATAGAGTTGGAAGAGACCACAAGGGCCATCGAGTCCAACCCCCTGCCAAGCAGGAAACACCATCAGAGCACTCCTGACATATGGTTGTCAAGCCTCTGCTTAAAGACCTCCAAAGACGGAGACTCCACCACTGTTGGAGGGTAGGCTGGTGTTTCTTTTAACTGCAATTACTGCATTGCAGGAGGCTGGACTAGAGGACCCTCAGGGGTCTCTTGCCGCTCTACAATTCTATGATTATTCTAATGTTCTTATCAGGCAGGACTTGATGCAGGAAAGCTGAAGCAGGTACACAGCTCACCTGGAAACTGGCTTCTCAACTGAAGTGAGATGGGCTTTATTCATATTGAATCCTTAATCTGTTTAATTCTTTGTGCCTCCACACGTTGCTGAACAAGAACTCCAATCATCCCTGGCTAATGGACGGGAGTTATAGTTCAGCAGCACCAGGAGGACCAAAGGTACCCGGCGCCTGATTTAAAGGGTGGCAATTTCTTCCTAAATTTGTACCTATACATAATAAAATAACTTTGTCTTAATTCTATGTGTCCACTGGTCTCCACTTTTCCCCTCCATTTTCTCTGGGGGAATGCGGTAAGCTGTCACTCTAAGGGGAAACAGGTCCACCCTCAGAGGAGATGGACGGACCCATGGACAGATATGCAACCCGTTTGTGATGTCAGCTCAAAACCCCAACCACACTTTCCGGTTGAGGGCCACCCCCCCCCCCAGCCTTGGGTCAGCAGCCTGTGGGTGGCTTGGCTTGGCTGGGACAGAATCAGAAAAGCTGGGGGTTAATTTTAAAAAAAAATCACCACATATTAGAAAACGAGAAAGAGAGCGTGACCATCAGCTAAGTCTTAAGATCAATGGCTGGGAAACTGGTGAGGGGACCAGTCTCTATTGCTAACGGGAAATTGCTAAGGGTGTTTTGAGTCCTTATTTTATTCTGGTGTTTCAATTATGGGTGCCTTGAGTTTAAATGTTTTAATGTGCTTAAAAAATGCTCATCTTTTGCATTTTAATGTTTGTGTTACTTGTTTATATTTGGGAATGAGCTGCTTATGACACTTGAATTACTAAGTGTACAATAATAATTCTCTTTCTCTCTCTGCTACAATCATTCTTTCTTGAAACCCCCTTGTTCCACGTGGCTTCGATCCCATTAGCTTCCACCCAGCGTAGACCCATTCAGAGTCATGGGCCAGTTATTCCTTCTCATTCATGTCAATGGGTCTACTCTGAGCATGGCTGGTGTCAGATACAAGCCAGAGCTGGGATCACAAGTGGAGAGCCTTGCCGATTTGTAAGGCAAGGCCAGGATGCTGGACCAATGGTTCCTTGTCCTGATCCATTAGGGATCTACTTAGGCCGTTGCGTACACAGTGCTACTATTGAGTGAACAACCCTTTCGGGGGGAGCGTCACCTCGCAGCCAGTTGGGATGAAGCTGGAAGCTTCTGGGAAGCAACTTTTGGCTCTCCGTAAGCGAGACCTAGCTCAGTAGTGGAACATTTGCTATGTACGCAGAAGGCCACCGGTTCAATCTCCAGGGGAGACGGAGGAAAGAGCCGTAGCCAAAACCCAAGGCAGCTTTTGACAGCAAGGACAGAGCTAGACAAAACAAGGATTTTAGTTTGTGTGTGTGTACACTCACATGACAGCTTTACATAGCCCAATGGGTGGGGTGCCTGCAACCCTTCAGATAATGATGGGGTGGTAGGGGAGGGGTGGTAGCTCTGTGGGGGGGTCATGTGCTTTCTGGGGTCGTTTGTCCACCTTTGGTCCCCACCTGCACCCAACTCTCACCTGTGGCTCCCAGACGCCGTCAGCAGGCGACAGCGGCCACAATCCTGGGAGCAGCTTCGATTGGCTGGCAAAATCGGGTGAGGGGAGCCAAAGGGTCTCAAACCGTCCGTGAGTCAGGGGCTTCCCCTGCATGTGAAGCCAGGCTCAGACGGAGGGAGTGGACGAGACCAAGAGGGAGCCCAGTGGTCAAGAAGGCGCTTTCTGCATGTGCTATGAAGGGGAGTGAAGGGCAGGTGGGGCTCGTCCACCTGGGAAGGGAGCCTATCTAGGAGAAGGAAAACTCTGGTCCTTGTGGGACATCTCTGAGAAGAAAAGGCTCAGGAGTAAGCCCTACGCAAATCCAGAGTCCCTAAGGCGGTTGGAGGGCGCCTTGTCCGCCTCCTTCTGGCAACTTCTGCAGCCCAGCTGGTGCCCAACGTCTTGCTCTGCTTTCCTTTGGACCCCTCAGTGAGGCCGAGAGGGGGGTCTTGTCACCTGGGCAGCCCAGGACCTCCAGACACGCTGCCCAGGCCCTTGCCCTGGGGAGGTCACCTCCCTGCTGCCAACACAGCAATTCACCCCTGGGGGCGCACTCCATTGTCTCTCGAGACAGGCGGATGCCGCACACACACACCGCCATCATCTCAGACCACTGGCTGGAGGAACTTTTGATGGGGCTCCGGAGGTTCCCCCTCCCAGCTCTAAGAGGCATTCCCTGCTCTTGGAAGGGTTGGAGGCTTCTTCTGATTAGAGGCATTTTCCTTCCTCGTGCAGCCAGCAGGGAATGTCTCCTCTTAGGACCAGGGAAGGAAAACCTGCAGAGTCTGGGTGTTGCTGGATTCCGTCTCCCATCACTCCCGACTGTCTGCAATGCCGGCTGGGCTGAGGGAAGCCGGAGTCCCGTGACATCTAGAGAGCTCCTCCCTGTCTCAGCCAAACAAGCTTCTTCAGAAAGAAAAACTGAAGCCTTCAACTTGCATCCTTTATGCTCGTTCCTTCACGCTGCTCCCTGCTTACATCATACCCTCCAACATTTCTCTCATGAAAATAAGGACATCCATCCTAAGGCATGGGTAGGCAAACTAAGACCCAGGGGCCGGATCTGGCCCAATAGCCTTCTAAATCCGGCCCGTGGATGGCCCAGGAATCAGCGTGTTTTTACATGAGTAGAATGTGCCCTTTTATTGAAAATGCATCTCTGGATTATTTGTGGGGCATAGGAATTCGTTCATTTTTTCCCTTCGAAAATATAGTCTGGCCCCCCCCACTAGGTCTGAGGGACAGTGGACCGGCCCCCTGCTGGAAAAGTTTGCTGACCCCTGTCCTAAGGAAAAGCAGGACATTCTGGGATTAATCAGAAACTGGGACGGCTTTTGTAAATCTGGGACTGTCCCTGGGAAAAAGGGATACGTGGAGGGTCTGTTCTTGGAAACATGTTCTTAGAAACCAAAGCCCCAAAGGCCAGCAATCTGCTCCAGCTTCTGTGAGATTCTCCCAAGCATCTCTTAACACTCATAAGGGCTGGAAACTTGA